CATGACTGGAAGGTCAATTCACTCCCACCATGTACCCTGAGATCAGCTGCATATTGGATCTATTTCAAGCTGCACTTAACAGCGGGGGTGATCCAAAGTAATTATAGTCTGCAGTTTTCTGTTGTGTGAGAATAAAAAAAACTCAATATGGAGTCTCGTGTGCTAAGTCTTAAAATAGTCATCTTTGAGGCATGTGTCACAATTTAACGATGTAGGAGGGCTGGCCAGGGGTTTGGGTTCAGTGAGGCAAAGGATAAGGTTTAAGATAATACGATGAATAATGAATAATGTAGATTCATTTAATGGTAATTTAAAAAGAAACAGTGACCACTTCTTTGTGTTGTGGCCACAGAAAAACAACTAAATGTATACCTGAGCAGACTCCTAATTAAGCAATTATTTGTTTAATTTGTTCGAGACAGTGCATGTTAATGAACATACATGAGATACTGCATGTTAACATATAAGACTGCAGCCTCTGGGTATTTTCCATTCATTGTCCTACTTACACACATACAAGTGTACACCAGTGTACTCAAGACAACTATACAAACAAATGTATTGACTTGGGTCTAACTTTGATCATGTATGATCTGTTACAAACATTACTAGACATAATGAATACTATATTGACTTATCGTTCAATACATAACAGATGGAACAAGAATGTTTGTTGTAGGGACTTTTTCTTTGCACTAGTGGGAAAGTTTTGGTTATTTTTCTGAAGAGCAGTGAATAACTGACTTCTATGACTCATTATAGATACAAACTAACCGCTGCATTTTGTAACTTATTTATATTTTTAACAATATTTTAGAATATTTTGGGGAGAATAGTTCTGCTTTAGGGTTTAGTTTCAATATTATAATTTATGGTCCATAGTTCAACAATATAATGCTCTTCAAAATTGTGACAAGCCTAAACATTACAATGAACAAACTTATAGGCAAAATATGATTTTGACACAAAATATTTTCTATAAAAAAGACATTTAAAAAAAGATCAAGGATGATTTTATGGTTTCTAATATTTGTTATTCTTTTCTGATACTTCCTAAACTCCAAACCAATGGAGCATGCTTTGTGGCCCGGGTTTACCACAATAGAAAAACACAATACTCTGAGCAGCAGGCGGTCACACTTGCAGACTGAGAATTAGCACTCCAGCTGTGCAACAAACAGGCTTCATTCAGGTGTACGAGAGCAGAGGGCTGAAACAGGTGTGAAGCTGCACTGTGCTGTTTGAGAGTCAATAAAAAAAAGTGATGTTCCAACAGGTCCCGGGCCAGTGATACAACACTTCTAATGCTAATGACCTTATTTACAGACAGAGGAAGTTTAAGAAATTTGATGCTGAAGCTGAAAGGAAATAAACATGGGAGGAGAGAGATGCGGTACAGATAAGGTTAAATAAGTTCTCAGTTTATATCGGATCTCTACGTAAATCCTCTTCCTGTTAAAACGCTGCATTTTAGAGTTTCCCAAAACATTCAGGACAGTTATCTGTTATAGAGCAAACAAGCAGACTCGGGCCTGATTTCAGCCCCTCACTGTGGTATAATAAAACATGCTTAAAACAAGAAAGGAGAACAGAATTATAAATATTTGTATTTCTTTTTGGTAAATTAGTTTTTTACATTGTGAATCTATGTGGAAAATGTCAAATATCATAAAATAACAAATGCAACCTACAGGCAGCATTTGCATGATATTTAGAAAAAAGAAGAGGAGAAATACAAATACTTTTTTTGGTGTGGTTGTGCTACACTGCCTGAGCCAAATCAACTATAACAAAAATCTAGCAATTTTTAAAAATTGTACAATGACAATGATTTTTCTTAACATGCCCCGTGAAATATTGACTACTGGAGCTAAGGGTTGTTATGGCCGTGTGCCGAATAGCCACAGGTGAAAATGGATCAATGGCAAATAATTTATCTGTGCAAAACATGGGTTTAAAATGCTTCGGCTGCCTGCACAGTCCAGATGTATATTGATGACACTGTAGATTAGATACGTTACTGTATAAACCGTATGTTAGCATGGCCGTCCTTTGAATGTGTGGTCTGTCATTTTAGAACAAAAGCCAGAACACTAGACAGTGAAACGCCTCAGGCCTCTTTTACTCTGCCTGATCACATTATCTGTGCTAAATGGATTTGAAAGATTTTGTTTATTGTTCCAGAGAAAGCTTACTGCCATAAACAATTACACTTATGATAAGCATGCATGATATCTACAGTAGCATTTGGATGGAGCAGAGCAGAGGGACAAATGCATATAGACACATTTGAGACTTATTTTAAATCAATGCCAATTTTGCTATGCTAAAGGATAACAGTTTTTATCTACACATACATTGCCTAATGTATATAGACCTATACCATGCACAGGGAGTTAGGTTGTTATCGTTTATCAAAGTGTGTAATGAGATAAAGAAAATCCCTTCATAAGAGGGCAGTGTGTTGGCCTTTAAGAGACTACAATAGGATTATGACTCAGATCCAGGTCAAGAGTCAGGACTAGGCCAATAGGGTGGCGCTCAACCCAAAAGCTCCTTCTTGTGCTTACCTGACCAGACAGAATCACACACTCTGACAAAACTTTACAAAGACGAGTGGATCTGGATCTTGTCTAACTGATTTCAGGGCGTGACTGACAGGTGGATTAACAAATCAGAGTGTGGTCCATTTGCATTAAAAACAAACATGGTGATTTTAAAAAAGCATAAAAAGTAAAAAAAAAAAAAAAAAAAAAAAAAAAAGGGGAGGAAACAACAGAAAAGAACTGAGAAACAGCACAAATTTTACAGGTTCAACAACCGAAGCATCAAACTGTTACTTATCTCGGATACAAAAAGTTAAACATTTTGTTCTGTATGTTACAAGAATTTTAAAGAGACACGTGCTACAAATTAGCAGCTGTGGTTGGATCATCTCAAGTTTGGATGGAGGATTTTCACACTCTATGGGCCAGTTTCAGCCTCTTCTGGATTTCAACACAATGTAGACTGGCTGATCAGGCATATGTTGTGCAGGCCTGTATTACGGCTGGGAGATATGTTTTTCCTCATACTGATTTATTCCCATTTTTGATTATTTTTATTTTATCTCATTAGTAAAACAAATGAAAATGGCACTCACTGTGAATTTTCTGAACATAAACCATACAGTACAACTCAAAGGTTTGCCCTTTTGATTAAAAACCCAGCAGGACCTACCATAAAACTTTGAAATGACTGAATCTAAATCTCTTACAATTCGATTGCACAATCCTGGTCTATAGATTCTTAACCATGAGGAGGAGTATGGCTTTTAACAAAAATTCTATATCTGGTCAATAAGTTTTAAGAATTATATATTTTTTGTTTTTATTTTTTCATATACCAAAAAGAAGAAAAATAAGTTGCCTGTTGCCGATACAATTTGATTTGCACGTTTGGGAGTTTCAATGTTAATAAAGAGCCAAAAAGGGCATGATATTGGATATCTTTTGGTTGATTCATATTTTCATATTTATATTTTTGAATTATTTTATATAAACTGTATAAATTATTTTATGTAAACTACATAAATGTCCAAACTATTTTTTGTAGTCCACCAAACTCTACTCTTACTAAAGCGAAGTAAAGTAAGTAAAGTGACTGGCCTGTCCCTTCTATATTCTGTTGAAATCCAGAAGGGGCTGGAACTGCGTGCAAAATTCTCTGTCCAAACTTGAGACGATCAAACCACAGCTGCTAATTTGTAGCACGTGTCTCTTCAAAATTCTTGTCACATACAGCACAAAATGTATAACTTCGTGAATCTGAGATAAGTAACAGTTTGGTGCTTCGATTGTTGATCCTGTAAAAATCTACGCTCAATTCTCTGTAGTTTTCCCCCCTTTTTACGTGTAAACCACCGTGTTTGTTTTTGATGCAAACCACTGAATGAACAGTTCTTGTCTAGTGAAATCTGAGAACAGAATTATATTAAAAATGTATAATGAATAACTATGAATCACTGCAGGGTGAGGGGTGGACTGGTCATTTGAATAACATATAATACCTATCATTCCAATAAGAGCTAGTGTGAATAGAGTGAATGGTAAAAATGATTCATACCTGAAGCGAGTAGGTCAAAGTTTTTTTTCCATTCAATTTCTGTCCATTGAGAAAATCATTCACCTCGGTACACCAGGTCCAGGTTATAAAACAGACCGTGGGAATTGAGTGAGACTGATTTCTACCTACCCCACTAAAAACTGAATTTTCATGAAAAATAATGTAACTTTAACAAATTTATAAAAGGCAAGAGAGTCTGACATGTTGACGCACAAGTATTTGTAAACATGTACAAAGTGGCCACTCTCACAAACATGAGTCATCCCTCTTGCTTATGTGATTCAAACTATGGTATATTTTTTCCGTCTCAGTTTGCTTTTCTCTGCTTGTGTCTTTGCTCAGTGATCTCCATGGAAACAGTCAGCAGAGACACAGGAGTGAAGCAAGACCAAGCACTCAATTTTTGAAGTGTTAATCTGGAATTTTGTTATATAAGATTATAAATGAATTATTACGTTTCAGATTAGTTTGAAGTTTGGGTTTTTATGTATTAAACTATGAAGGCTAACAGAATCAATACATTTTCCTTTCAAATCCTTTAGTTACTCAAGACTTGGAAAATGAGTAGCCTATGTTTATGGTAAGTTTGGGGCTCTGGAATTGAAAACTGGAATTTATAGCTTGTTATTTGTACTAATTTATGTTTAGCTTTTATTATTTGACAAAATGATCAGTACTTTTAGTCAACAAAAATAAATTTAAATAATAGTTTTCGTCATTATGTGTACTTTTAATTTAGTTCTAGTCATCAAAAATTGACGAAAAATATGACAAAATATTTTAGTCAACAAAATTTCCACAAACTACAAGATGTAGTTTCATTATACATATTTAACATGGAAGAGCAGTGTAGTATCTATTAGTCTTTGTAACTAATAGATACTCCTTTTACTCACCTTGAACACAAAACTTGAGCTCTTTGGCGTCAGTGACAGTGCTGGACGGCATCCTGTCAGGAACCTTCTTACTCATGCGGTTGTAGTTCCTCCTCTTCTTCGACTCGCCCCACAGGTTAGAGCCGCCGTGCATGCTGGGAATGTTGAGGACTGCAATGCCCTCCAAAGACGTGTTACTGAGGTCTAAGATGATCCCGTCACACTGAGAAAAAAACACAAGAAAAAGAAGAGGAACTGGTTTAATATATTTACTTGAGTGCAGTTTCAATGAATTGATATTGGGGGGGAAAAGTGATTTAACAGCAATAACATATTTGCAATTCAGTATTCAGTATTCAGTTAAGTCTGACAGAATGAGGCAATCAGCAAATTTATGGAGCATCAAAATAAAGATGTGCTATGAATAACACAAACTTTTAACATCATAAAACTGCTACTGATGTTGTACAATTTTGATAGCACAAGATTAAAACATTAAGTTGTCAAGATGTTTTCTTTATAGTCGCTGCACTCTGGATAAGGAGGCTCTAATAAACATATGGTAGAAAAGAGAAAACTGTCAGTTGTTTAAATCAAAACTAAACACTCACCTCCACTTCGATGCATTCGTTCAGTTTCTTGCATGTGGCCGAGATTGTCTCAGTGGTGCCAAACTCAAAGTACCAGAGCTTATTCTTCATTCTGAACAAAGACAAAAGATACATATACAAGATTAGAGACAGGTTTAGCCTTGGATGCAGTGATATGAATGTAGTTACTTCATGATATCTGTATCTAACAGTATCTATATACCAACTATGTCAACACAAAGCCAAAGCACCCTATAGCGATGAGGTAACTGGCGAAATAGGTCGGGCACGTGAGACCCCAAACCTCAACGTCAGCTGCACCATCTGTCAAAGAGGTGCTTCACTGTTGTCATCCATTTGTCAATACAGCGCATGTTTTTGCCCATGCCAGGCGTTACCGCGTCAACAGTGCCTCTCCAGGGGACAGAGGGGAATCATGGCCAATGGAGACCAGCCGATCACTGTCAATATTGTTATGATTCACGGCACTCAACACATGGAGAAGGTTGGACTCATTCAGACAGTGAGCGTGGTCAGGTGTTCTTACAGATGACGTGCGTGGATGGTAATAGCATATGTTTTCTAACCAAATAAAAATAGCTGGTATATGTGGTTACTGGCATTGGTTACTACTTACTATTATATCAATTAAGTGATCACTATTCATATTAATATCCTTTACTCCTTAAATTATTTAGCATATGAGTCCCATATGCTGTGAACAATTTCCCATGTGGATTAAAGCCACAGCATGTAACTTAAAAGTAAAATAAAAGTGTGTTTTTTGTATGAGCTACTTAAAAAAAATTATGTACCATGAGTGGGCACGCATCTCCACAAACCTGACGCTCATTTGGCCTGCTTGCTGGTATGCTTGTCTCTATAGAAATGTTGTTCCTTTGGTTATAATCTCCCACAGTATGACAGAAAACTAATCTAGCTACATGGTGAATGTTCAAAAGTATGGTTTTAACTTTCTATTTCCCATGGAATCAAGCAAATGGTGGGCCATCTCCAGATAGTTACATACTGCACCTTATATACCCTAATGAAATTAAGTTTTATTGATCATGTTCTAACTTTTCATCTACAAATCATCTGTGTATAGACATAACTAAAACTGTCAGCACATCTTGCAGTTGTTATCCAAAGTTAGCTGGGTTTATTGGCGTAGGTGAGCTCTGTCAAGCCTTGCCAAAGCAATGAGCTCACACTTGTCAACAGAATTTGAAACATGTGTGATAGCTACAGAGCAATGTGACCAGTGTTTCAGTTGGAGGATTCTATGGCTTTCGGCTCAGACCCTCCACCTACAGCATGTCATTTTAATATTTCGTAAGAGACAGGTTGTTGTGACTGACCTCTCACCCCGCATCACTTCTTCTGAAATGACTCACGCACTAATTTATGATACGACAAGGCGCTGCTGATACTGACAACACTGCTATTGACACAACAGCTGCGTTATAGGGGTGCACTGAGGTTAATTCATCGTACTGTGAAAGAGGCTAGGACAGGATCAAAACATGAATTACAGGAACAAAGGTGCTTACTGGTCAGTTTTTCTCTTAGGTATTATTTGTGTCTTTAATGTCCTATATTACGCAAAACTGACTCTTTAGAACGTTGTTACCCCTGCAAGAACATACCTGGAGTTGGGTTTTGTTTCACACATGTTTGAATAATCATTTATCTACAATTGCCAATCTCTATTGAGCTAAAGGAAAAAGGCAGCTGACATCGCAAGGTGGAAGCTTTGAGCTTTGGAGATGCAGACAGACTAATAATAAAGGGTTACTCAAACATTTGTGAGTGATACAAAACAAAACTCCAGGTATTTTTTTGAGGCGGTAACATTACAACTTGTCTTACAGTACACAAGAATCAATTTAGCATAATATAGGACTTTTAATATACATTTCAGAAATAGTAACGTGGGCTATGCAGTGAATAGGTTTTGGCGTAAATCTATACTACGACTACGACTACGACTCTTTTCATTTTCAGTTGAGATAGGAAACAAAACCCAATTATTATTATTTTTATGACCAGATGTTCATATCAAACATCTTAAGCTGCTGTGCACTACCCGCTTGCTCCTCTTTTGCTTAATTGTCTCTGCTCACCTAAATACCTCCCCAGAAACCTTCCCTCTGTCAAATCAGGGGATTATGTCCATATTTGAGATCACAATTAGGAACAGTAGTGACGCTCAAACTGCCTAACCTCATTAAGCCGCTTCCACATGAGACAGACTGTAAAAAATGCAATTAAGACTTTGCTTTTTCTCCTCGCAAATGGACGCAGCGAGCAACAGGGAGGCCGACTTATTTCTATAAACCTTCCTGCGTTATTCCCACGTCTCTGCATCCAAAAGCATGGCACAAAAAGCCTAAAAAAGGAAGCCCCCCTTTTACTAATTGTCACGAGGAAACCATTTTTATCTTCTTATTTTGTCTTGAACCCTGGGGCTTTTTTCTGGTAAGGAGGCTAATGAGGTCGCCTGAGCATTACTTCAGTGGTTGACAGTAAGCACACAGCTGATGCCCAAACACATAACAGATTCTGGCAATTCTTTGTAGCTGTTAATGTATCTTCTTTAATTACTTGAAAATCAAAAGAGCTGGGGCACAAATAGATTCGCAATTCCTTTGAAAGACTAGAGGAGAGATAGCAGTGACAAGCATATTGATGTGAAAACAAAGATCACATGGTCCATCGTAGCTGAGTGGCTTTTCAAACTGTCCTCTTGTATTTGTTCCCACTCCCACTATGAGATAAACATCTTTCTTAATCTTTAAAATAAACAGTAACACTTTGACCCAAGCACCCCTGCCCCTGATTTTATGCCTTTTGCCTCTCCCAAACCTAATCTTTCTAATCTATGACACCAGTGGATCATAATGTTTTAATTAAATTGCAATATTCATCTAAAACAACTCAGTGAAGAAAGCAAGTCCACTGACTAACCAGTGGGAGCTGGGGTCCCCATAAATGTCATCACAACAAAGAGCCGTGAAGTTGTCAGCACCTCTGATGGATAGCTGCACATCACACTAACGAGTCACAGATTTGTATCAGAATTACTATATGGCTCTACCGAATCCAAAGTGTATCACAGAAAATAAAATTGGGGAACAAAATAAGTAGCAGCCGTTTGCTGGTGGGGTGAAAACAGGGATTGATTAGCATAATGGTGTTTTGAAAATAAGCAATCAAAGATAGGTCAAACATGCACGAATGTCTACAAATACTCCAGGTGAGTAAATAGTGAAGGAAAACAACTACAACATGGTTAAAAGCTCTGAAAAGTTGATAATAGGTCAGCATAAATGGTCTGCTTTAATTTAGGAGTTTGTGGACAGACTACTCTCTTTATCAGCTTAAAGAGAGTCTCTGATAAGAAAGCTGCAAGAGCTACTGTATCTGAGAGTGCACTGTAACATGACCTGATAAGTTTCTTAACAGTCTGCATTGATTTGTATGTTATCTTTATTATGTTACAAAAGTATACAAATGCAAAACTTAGATTTTAGCTTACTAAAAGAAGCTATTGTTCTTAAATGGCTAAACTTATCATTTGATTAGCAAGAAACCAGGACCAACAAACCCAATATACTGTACAATATCATTTGATTGACAAGCCATCAATAAATGCATTCAGTATCTTTGTCACGTTTTTTTCTTCATGGCACCAAAGGCAGCAAAGGACACCAGGTGCAGGGCAGTGGCCAAAAGTGGAAGGTGTTGATGCCAATGCTCTGATCTCTAATCCATTTAGGTCTAGTGAGTTTTACAGGGCTAAGGAGCTTATGGAGAGGGTTATCTATACGATTTAACATCATCAATGGGAAAAACACAAGATTAATTGTCTAGCATGCAAAATTGGATCTCATTGCTACATTTGAACGTCCTTGTCCTAAAGGCCGCAACACTGATGTCACCAGGCCAAGTTACAGGTCATACAGGTCATGGAGGATCACCCCGCCTATAGTAAGTATTAATGTTTTACAAAGTATTTATGAGCACTAAAAACACCTGTAATTTAATGCTAAATAAATATGTTTAATGCTATACTGTGGATAATTCTAGGCAAAGCAATAACCTCACCGTGGAGGCAAGAAGATAGGGGCCCCTCTACCATAAATGTTACACAGTGCAACTTATTAGCTCAGTTCAATCAAATTGCTTTTACAAATGTAATGACATGTAGTGTGTGCAAATAATACATGTGAATAATCCTTTAATCCTGTGTGTTAAATAAGACCTGTCCTGTTCTTACTACATAGCCCACTGTTCTTTCAAGTGTGAAAAGCCATGTCTTCCCACAATGGCGCCTTTTATTCAGTATCTTCGTCACTATTCTGTGGTTGTCCCCCACTCCAGTTAACGCTCCCACTAGCACAGGGAGAAGCAGCAGTGTGGAAGTCATTAACACAAGGGCTATGGGCTCCTAAAGGTCTGGGCCACTGTGATCATTAGATTCTGATGGAAGATCCCAGTGTGAGGTGTGAGGAGTCGCACTTCAGTATGCCCCCCTCTCCCCCAAAGCACCAGGCCTGGAGACAAGCGGGGGGAAGGGTATGAGGCAGAAACCACATACGAATGCATACAATAAGATCTTTGAGTGACACACAACAAGACAAAGAGGCTAAAAGTGCTGCAAGTGCCTGCAGGCTTCTCCCACGTTGTCGCAGTTCACGTATCATTTTGTTGCTCCAGTGTCCGCTGTGTACAGACTCGGTTACATGACCACATTGTCAGTCACTAAGGTAACAATAAAAATGGTTAAGTTGTCAGTCACTGGCTTAAGACTTACAGGACAGCACCAAATGTCAAGCTTTGGTTAACTTTGCTCATGGGATCAGTTAATGTACATGACAGCATTCTCACCACCACCAGCATACACCCACTGCTCTCTACTTACTCCGTTCTCCAATTGTATTTTCTTAATTGCTGAGACATGTAGGATTTGGCAGTCTCACATTTTCACTTTGGAACAAATTTTAAAAATCCACTACTCACTGGTATGACCTGCAGCTCTCCACTGGAGTTACTGACTCTGTTGTGATGACGTTTATGGCAATGTGGGCTTCCATTAGGAACTGCAACTTTCTAACACAGAAGTCAGAGGACTTGTTTCTTTTATCAAATCATTTTAGATGAATATTGTGATTTAAAATGTGCAAATGATATCATAATGATCCATGGGTGTCATGGATTATAACTATATAGAAGGCTCAAGCAAAATATGTGTTCTTTAAACTGTTGATCTGTTGATTTTGAGTGTTTTTATAAACGAAGAGACAAAGCTCCAGTTATCTAATTTCTTTATATTTAACAAATGGCTTGTAGTAGATATTGTAATCTTTTGACGCCTATAGTAATCAGGCTTCAAGAGTCAAAAGTGCTTACTTATTTATGTTGATGTAATTTAGACCAATATCACAACCTCTCTCTATGCATAAAATTACCCATACTACCAGCTCCCATAAGATTCCTAAAAATCAAATGTTATCATTTATCTATTTATTTATTTATTTATTTATATTTTAAATCTGGGCTTTGAATTAAATTGGGCATGTGTCAGGAATACCATTATGTAACAATTCCAACAGGAGTCAAATAAATAGTCTTTCCACAACACATACTTCCATTATTAATTATTAAACTATATAAACATTGTCATTGTTTGAACCAAAGTCAACAGACAGGATGTAATGACTAAACAGATTTCAACGCAGCCTCCATCTGGGACTGGGGCTAACATTACCGCCAGTCATTCGCCTCTGGGCTAAAGCCTCTAAGGTTTCCAAATGTACATACTGAAGGTGTTAGTTCTGTAATGAGCCGTCAGACAGAAGTGTGGCCACAAGAAAAGTGTGTGTATCCTTGTCTCTCTGTTTGAATATAAATGAGGACCTTTTACATTTTCTGGCAAAGCTACGAATCACCTTCTTTAAAACTGACAGGAAAGAGAAATTCACACTTGGCCAATCGTTTTTCAGTAAGACCACACTGAAGGAGCCTGCTCAGACATGAAGAAATGTTTATATTATTTCAAGGGTTTAGCGACCAGTAGGATCAATTATGTCACACATTTTATTAAAGCTTTTTCCATGGAGGTGATATTGCTTTGAAAGGTCCACTGTATGGCATTAAAGAGGGGGTATTTTACTTCTATGAAGTAGTAACTGCTAACACAACATATTTAGATCACCATGTTTTCTTTTATTGTTTTTAAAATGCTCAAAACAACATATTAGCATGTTTCACTTTTGTTTTTGGTGATCTGAGTCCCCCCTCCCTTTGCTTCCCACACAAGAAAGAATTGTCATGTGGGAATATGGGTGATGCAGCTTGTGGCCATACCCGATCCCATCAGATCTCAGAAGCTAAGCAAGGCCAGACCTGGGTAGTACTTGGATGGGAGATCTTTGGGAATACCAGGTGCCACTGTGGGGCGCAAGTCGCAAAAACATCATTGTGTCATTGTGTCCTCAGGCAAGGCACTTCACCCACACTGCCTAGTATAGTAGTATAGTAGTGGAGTGTGCGTGAGTGTTGGTGGTGGTCGCAGGGGCCAACAGAGCAAAATGGTCTCTCTCAAAGACCTCTCTTCTGTCAGTCTGCCCCAGGGCAGCTGTGGCTACAATAGCAGCTTATCACCACCGAGTATGAAGTGAATGAATAATGCTCTGTAAAGCATCTTTGAGTGTCCAGAAAAGTGCTATATAAAATTGATCCATTATTAATCTTAAGAAGGGTTCGGAAGGGGCCCAGGAGAGATTGCTAGATTAGTCAAACATGCATGAATGACATCTAAAACCTCTTCTGGGATGTTTTTGATGAGGGAACAACATTGTAAAGAGTTAGAAAACCCCCCAAATAAATTTTGCATACCCCCTCTATCCCATCTATCTGTGGAGACAAACTGGTGACACCAACAGGCCAAGTTACAGATCAGATCTTTGGAGAAGCGACTCGTAGTAAAAAAGAATGTTGTGAAAATATTTTTGAGCAACAGAAACACCTGCAATTGCACAGTTAATACTTCTTATACCTTAAGGTGGACCATTCTAAGCAAAACAATAACATCTTTTTCTTCAGTTGCATTCCACTATTTCCTCTGTACGGACACGAATATCCTTTTTACGTCACTGTTCCACCCCCTCATACTGCAGCAGCATTCTTCAGCACATCATCTGACTTTTGAATTAGTTGAACCTTGTGTATCTTATAGCAGCAGATTAAGTACATCAACTGGAGTTGCACGTAGTCTTCATTTTGAACAAAGACAAGGAAACAATGTATTGATTTGAGTGGTTTTGTCCTCTCTTTGACCTACTGACCACGGAGGATCTATGTGATATTAGGTTTCTAGGTAAGGGTCCTGTTGTTAACTAATCACATGGGGTCAGACAGTGAAGCAGAGAAGATAGATTGTAAGAAATCTATTGTGAAAAATGCAAAATGTCATTGGAGGATTGATGTGTTACCTGCTGTTGAACTTCTCTGGGTGCTTCTCTCGCATTAGATGGAAACGATGTGCGATGGAGGCATCCTGGAAAAAAAACAAAAAAAACTTTTACGTGCAATTCAGTACAGCCCAAAACCTAAGTACATTTTTGAGGTTTTATTACAGACAGTATGTTTGTTATTTTATATTAAAATCTTAGGGTTAGGGTCAGACATGACATTATATACGTAGACCTCCACCAAGGCAATAGCACTATATTTGTGTATTCTGACCCCTTGTGGTTGGAACTAGTATTTGTTGCTCTTACTTTTCTGAACTCTGGATGTGTCCAATTAACTACAATTCATACACTTTAATATAAAATCCTTGCTCTTTATCAACAATGAAACTGACAGAGGAAAACTCTTCCTACTGAACATGCTGGTACAATAATTTGGACAATTTTAAAGAGCAAATATTGTGTTGTTACACAAGGTGTTGGATTACATATAAAATGCACACTGTAGCCTTCTTTTAGCACACACAACGAAGAGGTCACAAGTTAGTCTGTGCTGGACCCTGCTTTCCTGTTTGTACTTAACCTTTGCCCCCAGGGTTAAAGGTCAATGTAGTCCTGATCAGTCACAAGCACAGCCTCCATGACCTGCCGCTGTCTACCACACTGTCAACACACTCTGACTAATGGATTTTCCTTTATTGAATGTGCAGGCCATTTCTTAAAGTTCCACATTATAATTAACCACAGAAACTATTATTAATCATTTATTCACAGTGTATCTCTTTTGTAATCCTATTTGTGGAATTACCAAGCGCAGTTAACAGCATGGTTTTGTCTCTGAATAGAAAAAGTGTTTGAAGTGAACCCTCAGGCTGTGATTTGGCCAAAATAAATCTCAATGAAACCATATACGCTCAAATCCGAAAACATACCAGAAAAAAAACTGTAAAACCTCATTTCTATTTCTAATGCTGCTGTAAAATTATTTTATTCATGATGTATAGTGTATTCGTGACCAACCCCCAGGGAGTCACTTTAAACCTGGTAATGCCCCACGTTTCCCCCTAAAGGTTGAAAGCAAACCATGTAATGAAGAAGCCTTTATAATTATACATGTGTGAATATTTATAATGAAGAGATACGAGCATTTTCAGCTAAAAACCATCATAAGAAACTACCATTCAATGCAACTGCAATGCAAAAACAAAAGCTATGAAATAAAATTTATACATGCATTATTACTTATAGTAGAATAATATAATACAAGTATTCTATCAAACATTTCTAACAATCTTAAATTATTAAATGCAACAAAATCTGCTTCTGATTACTGCACTATACATTTTATTTTTAGGTGCACCAGATCCAAAAGATAAGATCTCCAGAAAAGAATATATTGCTCGAGCCATAGCCATGTGTTTGACTTTTGCATGTGCAATATAAATCATAGGATGAAAGCAACAGGAGTCCCACTAAGTCAGATAAGATGGAAAATAGACAAACATATGTAGCAGAGGATGGGTCTGGTCATTACGACTACAGCCCTGAGGAAACTAATACTTCCTTTAGACATTATTCTGGTAATGTAATATGACAGCATTTACTGTACGGAGTATCAGGTTGTGGCATCTATGGGAAATGCTTGTACAATCCTATGAAGAGCTCAATTTTACCTCATATCATTTCTGTACAATTCATTCACAACCAAATATAATATTTTCTCTGTCTGACAGTGAGTTGTTATGGCAGGCTGGCACTGTGCCCATTTGCACAGCTTTTCAAAATGGCCGCAAGGGGAACTAAAGGTTGTGACAGGACAGGTGGACACATGCAATTAAATGCATCTTCTCCTGTCAACGTCCAAACTGTCTATAGGAGCTGAGACGCTGCATGACGCAACTCCTTCAACCAGCGACAGTGTTGTTTTTCAAATCTTACAGCATCAGTGAAAATCACATGATAAAAATAGCTGCACTGTATCTGGTCTGGTTATTTGATACTAGGAGGTGGAAGTAAACAGAGGGATTAGTCAGTTTGGTATAAAAAAAACAGGAAAAACCTAAAAGTGTGTACTCGAAACATTCATTCTCAAAGTAATGTTACCAAAAAGTATCAGGAAGAAACACACAGAAGATGTTTACTGTTTGTTCAAAGCATGTTCCTGTTCACAGTGTTTTTGCCCAAAAACATGTTTTTCTACTTTGTCATAGTCTCTGCTAAAATCATCAGCCATTAGGCCTACGTTTAGCACTTTACATTAGCCCACGATGAGACGAAGGCTGTCAGTTTAGCACATAAGAGCAGGTGTAGGTCAAAGAATTATGGACACTGGATATAATAACAATTAATTAACAACATCAAAAACACTATCAGAAATTTAAAAAACATCACATTAGAAAAGCCATCTATAAACAGTGCTGGAAAGTAACTGAATACATACCAAGAATACATATTCAACTGTATTCTGGTAAAGTTACTCTTTTATTTGGTGGTATTCAGAATAGAGTTACTCTAACAAAATATATAAATAAGGAATACACTGCAGTACTTGATCACACAGTTTATGCTTCAAACTGCTCAGAATTACTGAGTAAGAAAGAAAACACAGTTCTTGTGGTGAGGCATGTGCAATTTTTCTTTCTCCAATAAGTGATAGGAAATACAACTCTGTGTAAAACTATTATAAGTACTATGTATCAGAATATGTTACAAAATCCAGTATTCTGTAACTAAATACTGTATTCTTCCTATCAGTGTCAATATGTAATAGTATTATATGAAATTCCCTAATCAGTAATGCATCCATTTGACAATGGCTCTATATGATCCTTTGCATTTGGAAAAAAAAAAAACACAAAAAAACACCTTTTATCATGAAATGCACAGTCCATCACTGAGTAATTTATTTCTGTAAGTGGCTGGTATATTTCCCAACAAGAGCCGGAAGCACAGATTAAAGCCAGTTTTATCAAAGGTAAACAAAAACAGACATTAATTACAATAATGTGACAACACTAGATGAAACAGAGTAGCCTATTAATTTCAACAAGCATTTCTCTTAATATTACACCAAACATGCAGTGTCGTGCAAGTGTATCTCATCTGAACATTTTACATAATTTAGGTACAAGCCAAACATGTGCTCTATAGTCAATAATACTCAGTATTATCGTAATATTGAAACTCCTGTCTCTTAATTGTGATATATGTGTGGCATTTTAGATAATCTAAATCATGTTTTCATAAGTGTGGCGGCGTGCGCGTGGCTTTAGGAGCAGCCAGGTGTCACTCAGCACGGTCATTCATCTCTGTGGTAACCTGGTCTGAACCTGGCACTGCTCACTTCCTGTCACTGATACTTCCCCTGACCTTCAGTGGACGCCAGTGCTGCCTCAAACCTCAACATCGTTCTCACACACACTTTTCCTTTTTGTGGCCGCAACATCTTTCTTTGCTCTGCATCTGAACAAATACTAAAGGCACAACAGCCAACAAAGAAATCAATTGTGTTTTTGTCCTGCCTTGTTTGGACCTGAGAAATGGTTGTATGGACAATACAGTAAGAAAACACCAAGATCAAAAGCAAAAGATGTTTGCCAGCTGCTATAGAGATACAATATTGCTCAGTCCATTGCCTTTGGCTTGGCAGAGTTCAACAAAATAGCACAATTGATGTTTGAATGAAGTGAAAGTCAAATTTAGAAAAACAACATTTCAATCTCTCTAAAATGCAAGCACTTTTTTAGTTCCAGTGTTCAGATTCTAGTGCTGGTTAGTCCAGTCTGTCTCTGCACCAACCCACAATCTCTAAAAATAAAAGTACAAAAACAAGGATGCAAAAATAGCACAGAGCGATGATGACACAATGGAGAGGGGTCTGTGTACAACTTAAATTTAAAAGCTTGGATGTTTTATGCATAAATTATATTTGCCTATATCTACTCTGTATTTAGAGCTGCCTTGCCACAGCTGCCCTGGGGCAATAAATCTGTGCCAATGTCCGACCAGCACTGATCCTCCCCTCATAAACCACAAGGAAGGACAGTAGGTAGAAGTGTCTTCCCTAAAGACAATGGGATCAAACCATCAGCCATTGTCGCCACATGGGGGTCTGACTATTGAGTGTTATTTCAGATAGTTCAAAGGATACATAGTACAATTATGATTATCAATTTGTAAAGTATTTAAGTTCAGGAAAGCAAACCAGGGACCCCTTTTATCCAAATCAAAGGTAAATAAAACTGAGCCATACGGTAAATACATTTTGATAACCCCCAGATTCAGGACAAGATAATAGGACCACCAACTATTGATATTTCAACATTCCCTGGGGATGTGAGTCTAATTAAAAGCACTACTCTGTTAGAAGTCCTGTTAGTCAAGTTAGAGCTTAGAGTTATTTGAGCTTTATTGGAACAAAATCTGACCAGAAAGAGCTGATTTGGTTGGAACTACAACAGGTGAACTGGTTTGTGTCTCTCACACATAAAATTACTGTCACAGGCTAATTAGTATTAGTAGTATTAGTCCACATTTTAGACTTAGACTTAAACAAACTTTATTGATCCACAAGGGAAATTACTTAGACACAGTAGTTCACTAATTAGGAAATTTTCAGGAGCTACTGTGACCCTGCTGCCACTCTCTCAGGTGCTCAGGGTGTTAACGCAGCATTCAGGGTGTTAACATCCACACATTTCTTCAGTTAGTCACACTCACCTTTTGGTTGAAAATCAAACAGGATCAGGAACACTTGTATTGATCACAATCTCCATTTTGTTTTTTATGTATGTAGTAGTTTCTTAAAACTTTTTTGTCAGTGTTTGCCAATGTGTGCATTGTGTCACCATGGTAACTGTTGAACATTCTTCCAACAGAGACTGATGTAGGACAGCCCCAGCGTGATGTCACTGCAAGGTATCAATTCTAGCCACCCTCCCCTTTGCTGCATGAAGTAAAGTTATGCATTAGGAGCTGCCACTTAACCCACAGACTCATCTTTCAAGACCTTCACACAAATACACACGTACATGAGCCTAACTTGGACAGCGGCTCCCTAAAGCTGTGCTCACATGAAGAAGTGCTGCAGCGCGATCAGCTTCCTCAGTGCAATGTGAGGTGGGATCTTTAATGGCTGCTGACATGGTGTGATTTCCTACTCTCCAATTCCTCGCACAAGATTCTTTCCAGGCTGCAGGTCAAGCAGTAACCCAGCAGGATAGTACTGCTAATAGGGACATATGATAGAGCTGGTGAAATATCATGATATATAATAGGATGATGATATTAAATTTGAAATAATCTGGTATAGTTGTGTGTACACTGTAACTTTATTTTCAACTTGTTGCTATGGCTTAAGTGTTGCACTACTTTCTGATCTATGTTATAATGTTGTTTCCTCATCACAAACATATCTGGAGTTTTGTTTTGTTTCTTTCACACATGTGTAACACACAAACCCTGCATATTTAGGATGAGTTTATTTCCCAAATGAAAAACACTCAATGTGATGTCATGTGGGAATAAAGGAAGTATTCCACTGTGTTTTTAAACTCCATACACGTTTACTAGAACCAGCCCTGGAATTGCCAATCTCGAATGAACTAAAGGTAAAAGGCACCTGATAACTTGAAAACTACAGCTTCATAACATCACAAGGTGGAACAGAGCATTCTGAGCTTTTGAGATGAAGACAGATTAACAATAAAGGGTTACTCAAACATGTGTGAATGAAACAAAACACAACTCCGAGTATGTTTTTAATGAGATAACAAGATTCTAACATGACTTAAAGCTCACAAAAGTCAATTTGCACCTTTAAAAATAAGTTAAAATTGCAGACCATATTTTCCTAACCTAACCGCTAACAGCAAGCTTTTTGAATAGCCATTTATCATCAAAACTATATTACTAAAACAGTAAAAAAGTAATTCTCACAATCTAAAATGTGGTGTTTTTAGTGAGCCAAAAGGTGAAACAGTAAAGTTACAATTTGAGACCAGAAATGTCTGTATTTGGTACTCTTGTTTCCTAATAATAAAGAGGGTTTTTACTGGAATTTGATGGAGCTGAGAGCTAGAAACAGGAGGCAGAAGGCAGAAACTTTGCACATGCCTTGTCACTATCCTTTTTGCTTAGTGTAGCACCACCAGCCCCCACGCACAGTGCATTTTTTATGCACTTTCTCTGCCAAACCACAATAGCTCAACCTCCCCTACTCAAGAGCAAGCAAAGATAACTAAAGTATATCTGTTGTTATGATACAGTTTTATAACATACTGTATGTATTTAAAACCTGATCCAGACTACTTAAATTGGTCTTGCTACGTGTACTATTTATAGACTTACTTTAGGCATATCAGTGATGCAACAGAGCTAGACTAGACTAGACCACAAGCTGTAACCAAAATGTCAAGCACTGGTCTGTCTGTAACTTAATTTGTGCAATTAATTTATAATACCAAATAAAAATATTGAAATATATTGTAATCAGAAAATCATTTGTAGTTATAGGGTCTTGGCTGAATCGACCACATGCTCCACACCATGTCAGCCTCTATTAAGTCAGTGAGATAAAGGACAGATGACGGCTAGAGCTTTCAGAGTCGGCCTTGCCAGCCTCCCATCACCATGGTAACCGTATCCCGAGTAGCGCGCTCTGTGATGGGACAGCAGGAAATGCACACCGTGTATGGTTAGTAAAGCAGATTTGAGGGTTAGTAATGGCGACATCATTGGAGTGAGTCACTGATGGGTTTGTTCAGGTGTTGTGCGCTCCCAGATACAAAGCCATCTGTCACTGGGCTGAGCCTGAAGGTTTAAGGGCCATGCCACCGGAGTGCAGAGAGGAGAAAGAGCTTTTACTACTCTCCCCTCCATTATGCTTTAAAAAGTGTCTGATTTATAATACCCCAACTCACTTTAAAATGCACATTGGGGACTACAAGCTTATATGCAAGTCTACATAAAAGCTTTAGATGGACGAGGTTGGCATGGTTGTAACTTTCACCTATTTGTCACAGTAACAAAATCATCCCATGATGTTTAAGTTAATGAAGCTATCTGGTCATTTTACGTTTACTTTACTTCAATAAACAAATAGAAATTGAGAATTTGAATATTTGATAAAACATTACTGGTAGCCCTAGTAACTAACACAGAAAAGAAATAAAGAAAATAAAACACATTTATCTTAAAGGTGTACTGTGTAACATTTCTAGTGAAGGATCCGCCACCAGTTTGTTTTCATGGAAATGTTATTGCTTTGTGTAGAATGTTCCTCAGTATAGGTTAAACCAATCTATCACGAAGGAGACAAGCAGGTTACAGCACTATGCTACTATACACTACAATTCAGATCTGTGGAGAGTCGCCCCTATTCACTGAAGGAATTATAGTACTTTTAAGCAGTAGAAACACCTATAATGAATAAATGCTAGATGAATACGTTTAATGTCATACCATGGAACCTTGCAGGCAAAGTAATAACATCTCTGTGGAAACAAGTAGGTTGAGGACCTTCCACCAGAAAAGATGTGCAGTGCACCTGTTACTTGTAAATTACATCAGACAAAAGTTGCACAATGCATGGTATTGTATTTGGTAATTTATGTAATTACCAAATACAGTTTTTAATAATCCAGATTATTCTACAAAATTTTGTTTTTGTTTGTTTTTTATGAATGTCAAATTATACAGATCTACCTTGTGCAACCATGTAATGAATTACTTCCACACAGTTTATTTAGATGTAAGTCATTAGTGGAAGTTTTCCTTATAAATCATGTTTATAGCTTTAGATGGTTCGAGAGGAAAAACAGCAGATGGCTGACTTTAACTGATGAGTCAGCTCAAAATCTGGCACAACCTCAACTCCAACAGGCTGGCTTTTATCTCACTTCTGAAAACCTACAGTAATACTAGCTCAAAAACCAAGTATGATGGCAATATTGTAATAATGAATATCAAAGAGTAAAAAGGCAAAGCCTCACTTGGCGTTTATCATCCAAGTTATAGTTGTACATTGGTAAAGACATACTTTACCCACACTTTACTAGAATATGTACCAAAAATGCTCTAAATCTAAACATGTGTGCTGCTGAAAATATGCTAACTTTGTCATGAAATAAGACATGACTATACTTCTCTCACTTATGTTTGATAAGTATAGGGACATCTGTCACCTCCTATCCTACGGAGAGGGCAGGTAAGCAGTGTTTAACCACACTTACCCATAAATCAGCGACGAGCCCTTGTTTATCACCTCACATAAACGTTTCAGAGCAGAACACCAGTTTCTCCATCAGGACACACCATAAAAGGTTACCTAGCAACTGCAGCCTGGCAGCAAACGTCTTTCCTCCAATTAAACAAGAGCTGCCCGAGCGGCAGCAGATATTCACTGATGAAACCGCTAATTGCTTAAGTCCACAGACCAGATAATCCTCACATGGACAGAATACAATGTAATAATAAATGAATGTGTATTACTAAAAATAAGTTTTGATACACTTACAGATTCAACACAGGCTCATGCTTTATATTATATTTTAAATCCTGAAACTATTATGCTGCATATAAATTCTCTGCAGATCTGTCTACTCACCACTCCTATAGAAAAGTAGTTGTTGACAATGCTGTAGGGCACAGGGTCTCCCTTCTCTTCTTTATCGTCAGGGACAATGTCGATGTTCCAGCGGTCCAACACCACCTCTGTGCTGTGCTCAATGTCCCGAAGAAACTTCAGCAAACTGCCACCCTCGTAACCTGTACACAACAGGTCAAAACACGGTTATATGAGGTTATATGCTCATTTGACAAGCTAAGAATTTTGAGATAGTCACCTATTGTTATAACTAACTAAAACAAAATGATCTAAACCTAATTCTAAACATTGAATTACATTGGAAGAGATGTTTGATGTTGTATAAAACATGCCAGTTCTATAAAAATTATGGAACAAAAGAGATCAAATAATGTGAATAGACTTGGAAAAAAGATCGTATTGCTACGGTAGCATCATAAACTGACAGCCTTATTGTTAAGTTAAAGTTTGCAGTGTACAGAGCTTTCTTTGTTCTCAATACATGGCAATACACGACAAAATAAATTCAAAAGCTTTTGTCGGCCCTTCAAGTAGCACAATCAAGCCCTCATAAGCAGTCACTCCAATTATTGCCCCTCAGTGGCACAGCACTCAATGGCTGGCAAAGGAGTTACACCACAAGTGCTTTGCATATTAACTATTTATAATTTACGAATAAATGTCCCTCTTTATTTCCTGTCTGAACATTTTATTTTCTCATAACACACAAGCAAGTACTTTATGTTCTATGTGTCACTTGTGTCAGGATTATTCAAAATCCAAAATGTATTTCATTGTGTTGCATTTGTCTATTGAATAAAGATGCTGTTTGGTTAGACCTCAGCTCTTACCTCCTCCCCAGCGTAAACAGCGAGCCAAGTCATTCCCTGTGCCCAGAGGGAGGATGGCCACTGGAGGGTGTCTGGCAAAGTTGGCCTTGTCTGAAAAACAAACACAAACACATGACCTACTGTGTGTGTGCTAATAGAGTCCCACTGTGTCTAAGCTCCTCTCAAAGTCATGGGAAAAATACTGTATTACACAGTTCAGTTTTTTTAGATTATTATATTGTCTTTTTTTGCCCAACTTAAAGGACATACTATGTTAAATAAACATTTAAGAGTTTTTTATCCATGATACAATGGCCTTGTTTACATGCATACAAAAATCTTATTATTATCTTTCTTGACTTGCAAACAGCAAAAATACAAACAGCAAAATCTGATGTAAGTGACCAAAGACACCACAGCTAATGATGAGGGGCTCATTAGTTTAATCAAAGTAGTATTTTGATTGAATTGATTCATGCATTGGAGGCTTCATTACTCTGTTTTCACCTACTTTGAATCCCTGCCCACTGCTAATGATATACTGGCAGAATTGATGTTATTTTTTAGGTCAGCAAACTGTATTACCTATGCAGTCCAATATCCAGCCCACAGTCCCATCGCCTCCACAGGCTAGTACTCGGAAGTCAGGGACATCATGAAAGAAATTGAGCCTAAATGGGCAAAAATGACAAAGAGAAGAAAAAAAATCAAGTTATTTTTGACATGTATAACATTTTTTTTGATTGAATGAAATGAACGAAATGGCAGGAAAAGATACAGACAGTATTTTTAATCAATAAGTTACTTCTGTAGCTGTGCTGCCTTGAAACGGGTGTAAGGGGGTGTGCCCTTCAAAGGGACCTTTAATGCATGTTGGGACAAAGGTGTAGACAGAGCTTTCATCTCAGCTGGCCTTAAACAGATGCACACAGACTACAGCCTCGCTCACAACCTCCACCTGGCCCCACAGGAACAGCTGGAGAAACCATGGACACTCCATATTCACCAAAGATTAAGGAGCAACAAGTTATCTGAGCTGCAAAGTGCTACTGTGATGATATGTTGGTACTACATTCCAATTTGACGAGCCAAATATATCCAGACAACACAAAAAGGCATTTAAAAAACACACTGAACAATCAATTCCAGCAACACATAATACTGTGCGTAGGCCACTGTACTACACACTTAAAATGGCTAAGTTCATGTTTGAATATTTAACACCATCTAACCTTGGCAGGTAAAAAGCAATGGTTTCAGTAATAAATGACTCATCAAAGTGCTAGCTGAATAGATCCCCAATACAAATCCCATCAAAAAATCTACTGCTGCTACTTTAAGCCTGCGCTGTTTGTTGCTATGGACAACAGTTCACAAAAGTGAGATGACAGAGGTTAACCCTGTGTGATACAAAGAGGCTTATTTGTCTGTGAGCATTCCTAACCAGTCACAATATGAAACTTATGATCACAGTAAAACATAAACAACTTGTCTCAGTAAGTTCTGACAAAACTCTTTTGAATAATCAACAAATGATTAACTTATGTCCAGATAGATTTTTTCATCAAATCTGGCTGCATAAACTGGAATTCACTTGCTTTGAATGTAGCCTAATCTAATGAAATTGCTTTGTTAGTCCAGTGTTTTGGCAGCAAAAGCACTTCCCATAATGGGTTATTACCTGTGTCATTAAATAAAAAGATTTTCTAGCACACAGTGACTTGTACACAGTCAGTGATGGATTAACAGTACTATGTGTTTGTGACACTCTTGTGTCATGTACAGACAGTCCAGGTGGACCTGACTGCGTCACCGGGTCCCTCTGCTTCACAGGCTCTTGAGAGCCACTCATCGTGACCAGAGCCACAGACACAAGGAGGAAAGAGGAGCACTGTGGAGGTGGGGCTTCACCTTCAAGGTAAAGAGCCTTACGTCTATCATGCTGCACTGAGCAGTTTTTTCGCATGAATGGACTGTAACAGCAACAGGATTTTATTTAAGTACAAGCTGTACACAGCACAGAAAACTATTTGCCCCTCTCTGACCTCTGCCGTGGATGAACGCTGATGGTGCCTATGTTTAAGTTCAAAACATTAGGCTCTTTTCTCCTTCAGAGACTAAAGTCAATACTAAGACCTATACATTTTAACAGTAAGGTTTCTTGAAAAGAGTATTTAATATTTTCACTTTAAATTTGCCACTATATAAGACTTACCCCACCATTGGTCCGCCTTGATCCAAAGTGTAGACTTGCCTGGGGTTGAGTAAGTACCTGAACTTTCTGAGGACCCTGAAAATAAATAGATCATAATGAATTTGTATTTGGTAAGGCACAATAACCAGCTGTCAGATCTCATCTTTTTTGATTGTTCCAGTATTTCTATTGCTGCTCAAAAAAAATAATAAAGGAACACTTTAAAAACACATCAGATCTCAATGTGAAAACAAAATATGTTGGATAGCTATACAAATATGGACAGGCCAATGTCTGAGGAACAAAAGGATACCAGCTCTTTTCATGCAAATGAACAACAGGTGCACTAGAGTGGCACCAATTTGACAATTCCTAAAACAGGACTGTTTCTGCATGTGGAGATCATTTCCAAGTTTCTCCCTCTTGATGTTTTTTGGCTGGTTTTCCACTAGTGCTGGCTTTGGCTTGAGTGACCATCACTACTGAGAATATGAGGCCATTCCTTAACCCTACACAAGTTGCACAGATTGTCCAACTTCTCCAGAATGACACATCCAGATGTGAAGTTGCAAGGAGATTTAATGTGTCGCTCAGCAGGAATTCAGGAGACAGGCAGTTACTCTACGAGAGCTGGACAGGGCCGTAGAAGATCCTCAACCCATCAGTAGGACCCATATCTGCTCCTTTGTGCAAGGAACAATAAATTGAGCACTACCCATGCTCTACAGAATGACCTCCAGCAGGCCACTGGTGTGAATGTCTCTGCCCAAACAATCAGAAACAGGCATGTCATGAGGGTGGCTTGAGAGCGCCACGTCCTGTAGTGGGCCCTGTGCTCACCGCCCAGCACCGTGGAACTCGATTGGCATTTGCTAGACGATACCAGAATTGGCAAGTATGCCACTGGTGCCCTGTGCTTTTCACAGATGAGAGCAGGTTCACTCTGAGCACCTGTGATAGATGTGAAAGAGTCTGAAGAAGACAAGGTGAAGGTGATGCTGCTTGCAACATCGTTCAGCATGAGCAGTTTGGATTTGGGTCAGCAATGGTCTGGGGAGGCATATCCATGGAGGGACGCACAGACCTTTACTGGCTAGAAAATGGCAGTCTGACCGTCATTAAGTATCGGGATGAAATCCTTGAACCCATTGTCAGACCCTATGCTGGTGTAGTAGGTCCTGGTACAACAATACTTCATATCACAAGAGTATGCAGGCAGATCATGGACGAAGGGATTGATACAATTGAATAGAGCTAACAATCGCCTGATTTAAACCCGATAGGACACCTCTGGGACATTATCTTTGTATCCAATAATGTCAGAATATACCTGTGGCAAAAATAAATTAATCAATCAAAAACCATCAGACGCTGCCAGGTTGCTCCTCAAAGTCTACACAGATCTGAGAGGACATCCCACAAGACATGACACTGCATTGTCAAACATGCATACAAGCACGTGGGAGCCACACAAGATATTGAAAAGCATTTTGAGTTGCAAAAATAAAATTTTACCAAAATGGACTAACCTGCCACATCATTATTTCACTTTGATTTGCAGGGTGTCTATAAAATTAAGCCCTCTGCAGGGCTGTATTTCCTTTAAAAGATGTGGCATCCTCTAACCCTCTGAATATAAAAAAATATATTCAATGAAATGCTTTTCTAATTTTGGTTATAAATGCACACATTTGTATGATATATTATACAAAATACAAATGAACCTTAAGGTTTTAATAATGTTTGAAAAGTGAACAGATTTTCTTCTGCCCATTCTTTAGTTCCTGCCAAGTGTGAAGATACCACAGTCACACTGACTCCTTGTGAGTGTTACATAAACTGCCTATTAAATTCACAAATCATTTACTTTCATGTACCTTTTGTGGGATACAATACAATCATAGACAGAAGAAGTGTCACAGAGTTGAATAGGTATTTATAAAGCATTATTCCAGTTATAAAAACAAATGGCTTTAACTGAGCAAACATTTCTAATCAATAACATGTAGCAATGGATGAAGGTTTATTTAATTTTGTAAGATGAGATGCAGTTGAAGACTTAAATTGACTTTTTATTTCAAATGCATTCAAATTTATGGCTTTCCCATGCAACACTAGAGGTGCAAGATTTGTGTTCCAAAGTGAATGATTTTTGTTCTTGTCATGTCTATTATTAGTCAATAATTTTCTTTTGTAATGGTAAAAAGAGCATGTTGCTATGGTAATGTGTCAGGCTGAGGCAGAGCAGCAGGGTATGATTGGTCTCTGCTGTGTGCTAAGTGGTGAGCAGCGCCACACTGAAGACATGTATTTACTGTTTTGGAGGCAGTATAGACTCTGTCACCTTTAAATTATAGTGTTTAGCCCAAGCAGAAGGGATAGACAGATAGGAGCAGGGCCTTGGTCTGCAGTAGCAAGAAATATTACACTAATAACTAAAGCAAGGGATCCTTTAGCCAGCTGTACATACTCTAGTTCAGGGGGAAATGCCCTTTGATTCACAATACAAGATCACCCACTAGTCAAATACTCACAGAAAATACAATACTAGTTTAGTAGTAGTTAGGATTCTAATGAACATGTTCCAATTTGTCCATTTACTGGCCTCCTGAGGTCAGTTAGAAATTGAATCTTGCAGTATCTGCAATTTAACTACAGTCACATGGTGTTTTAAAATGCCGATATATATTCTATATATTCTATAAGTTTTTGTATTGTTATGTAATGACACATTATAATGTATTTTCAATTTGTTATGGTTACTTGGTTATGTTTTATAAGTAAGTGCAAGTGTTTGCTACTCCAACTTACCGCTCTCCTTGCCTTCCACCACTTTTCGGATTTACCATCACCAGCAGCGGGTGAGTGCCTGGCAGTGGGGTGATCTGCATGCAGAAAACAAAGAAAAAAAATAAACTTCATTGTAGCAGAGCAGCCCACACAGGAAGTTCAGTCAATAGTTGTGATGAGGAAGAGCTTATACCTGCAGTGCCTGTCCATCACCAGGGCTGAATTTAAATGTCTGATTGGTGTCTTCTGGACTAGTGCTGGGCGGCGAGTCCCCTTCACCCCGCTTGACCACTGAGTGACGATCCTAAATGAAACAAGTTTAGTGAGTTATTTATTATATTTATTATATTTATTCTGAAGGTGTTGGACAGCTTTGAAGGTGAAGAGTTTGGTGAGACATTCAGAAACTAATCAGAGCTAGGAATCAATTTAGCACAGAGCTACCCCAAGACCCCAAGGCTTTTGTGCAGCTGTACAGGATATCTAGGGGTTTCAGATGAGGACCATTGCCATAATTAACTTCAAATACATAGTTTTTTCCAGTAAACATGGCTGTCAGGGTAGTCGTTGGTTGTTCTTTAAGCACCAACAAGATGCACACCTTACTATTCTACATGATAAATTAAAGATACATTTTTCTGCTGCTTGCATACTGCAATATTTAAAGATAATCCCAAATCTTTGTAGATAATGTGATGTACAGTGGATATTGTTACCAAGATGTCACACGGCAGGTAAGGTCAGCTTGTTATTTAGTTGTGCCTCTTTCAAAGTCAAACCTAATAATAACATATAACTTAATATAGATGTGAAAGTATATATAGTTGGTCTGTTTGTTCCGAGCCCATCTGAAGTCCTAAAATAGTGCCATAACAGAGTGTGAAATTGAAACAGGTGCTAGCCATAACTCCAAGGCTCAGTGTCCGCTTCATTCAGCCATGAAATAATCACTTATCAGGTATTCACCCAGCTGTGTCTGCCCTGTATCTGCTCTGTAAAGGAAAGTACTGTGGGTGGCTTTTGTTTGTACACCCTGTTAACAGCTTCCTCTGGTAGAGCACACAGCATCTCATCCATGGGGCTCTGTTTGTTTAGACTGACACAACAAATACACAGCAACTGATGCACACACTAATATTTGCCATTTCTATACTGTTGTAATTGTGAACAAATCCTGTACTAAAGCAGTTATCTATTAGTCCAGGGGAAATGCTCAGTCCATAATTTTATTTAATCATTATGAATTTACTAAATGTTAATACTGCTCTAACAGAACATTTCTTATACTAATACTGACCCCTTGAGGCTGGAGTTAGTATGTTTCACAATTTTTTTTAAACACTATTTTAAATATTTAATCAGTTCAAAATCTAAATTTGCCCAGCATATTTCTATGTGCAGCAGCTAAAGGCTATCTAACCATTACTTGCTCTGTTAATAACCTTGTTTACATATATTGCCTACACTAGTATTCAAACAATACTAACATTTCAAAATTTATTTTGATACTAAAGAATACACTTGATACTCTACACCGATTTTTATATCCAAGTGATTTTAAATGCTTGTTTTTAGAAAATATGGTAATTTTTAATACTAAATAATAGTATGTGAGTTTTGATACTAGTTTTATTATCAACATAATTGTATGCAATGCAATTTTGTGGTGAAGGATGTATTCAATCTTCATATAATCTGTAGTTGAGTGTTTTTATTTGCCAAGACCACTTTGGTTTTTGACATTTTAAGATATTCTGAGCATGTGCCAAAGAACAGAAACCATCCTCACCAAGACGACAGGGCAGATGTACGAGGGCAACAGCGTGTGGTCTCTCAGTGCTCCTCCATCACATTCGGGCTTGACATTAGACGCACACTTATTATGGAGCTATGAAAGAAACAGAAGAAGTGTGGGAGGGATCCATCTGTGACACTGAGTCAATCAAGCGCTAACAGGGACACACATATGAGGTCATTAATCATCTATATATGAAGTGAAAGTACAGTTAAAACGTCTACATGTGTGCCTATAACTTCAGTGTATGACTAATTTCAAGAAAGCTTCCCTGTGAAAAATTACATCCAGTTTCAATAGTGTAAACAAGTGTAAGACTGTAGTGCCATCTAGTGGAGATACAATGCACTACAGATATTATTAGGAGAACGCCTGCATAAAAGAGTGTAATATGGAGATAGTATATTACTCACAGTGATTTGACACCAGACACAGTGCAGTCCCGTCAGACCCTGGTAACACTTGATGCTTCTGTGGCAGCGGTCACATTTTGTAGGAGAATTACCCTCCATCCACACATGCTGCATAGCCTAATAACAAGAGAGGGAAACTTCACCAGAGTGGAAAATAGATGTATTTACTCATGTTTGTCTTTAATGTTACCATCAGCCTGTCCAAGGACAACAGATGGAAGCTAAACAAGTGGCTAAAATCTGTCATATACACATATATTAATTAATATATATGTACTGTCCCTTTTCTAAGTAAAAACATATGTAAATAAATGTACAGTATATATAATATATATATATATATATATAATATATATATATATATATATATATATATATATATATATATATATATATATATATATATATACTTTTTTTTTTCATACATTTTTAGTATATGTCATAGAGGCAAAATGAATAGTCCCACCTTTGAGTTCAACTTTGGGCAGTCACTTTTACTGGCATTGCAAAAAACTTACAGATTTTGAGCATTTCTTGCCTGTCTGTCTGCCAGTAAACCTAATATCCACTTTATTTCTAAATGATCATGCTATTATTGAAGTATATACACCATTGACCAAGTATATTTAGTACGGTATATACAATAATAGTTAGTTTTCATTGTTATGAGCACAAAAGCTTTATTTTTTAAATCCCATTATACATCTACACGAGTACTACCAATACTCACGTTGGTGTGACGACGTGACTTGGCATAAGTGCTGATGCAGGCAGCAATGTCTTTGGACACACAGCGTTCATGTACTGTGTATTTGCATACTGAAGAAAGCAGTGAAACAAAAATTGTATTAGGGACTCTAAAATTTATATAAATACAATATATTTACACTGCAGTCAGCATTTGGTCTTTTTTTAATTATAAGCAAAGTTTAGAAAAGAAAGTTTGAAAAAAGCTGGACTAATGGCCTAAAACAATCCTATGTAATAAATCAGCCCATTCAATACTTCCTCATCACTGCTTAACAATAAATCAATGGCATAATTACACATAATGACTCAGTTAATGTTTGATAATGATTTTTGCAAGGACTTTTAATTCAATAACAACATTAACTCCGAGGCACTCAGGCCCAATAGACAACCACAGAAAAACACAAGACACTCTGATAATGACAAATGTGACAAGTTCAAAGAGGAGATTAAACAGAGACAAACAAAAACAATTATTCATCAGACAGAGGAGTGGGGACTTACAGGAGCAGCACAGGCCCTGCTTGCGAACTCCCAGCAGCATGGTGTGGCAGTAGTTACAGTACGCTGGTTTATTGAAGTGCTTCAGACGCCACACATGCTGCCCATCTTCTTGTACATTCTGAGCACACAAAGAACAAATAGAAGACTTGTAATATGTGCAAATGCTAAATATGCCTAAAACAGAAGTAATAGATAGAGGGGTTGGGACATGCATGTGAAGAGTTTCATATTAACAGTTTTTTCCCACAAAGTCTAAAAACAGGCTTTACAAATTATATTTTTTCTTCTTATATAATCATAAACAAATACAAATAACACATAGCTGCCTGTACCACTATAATCTCAGCAGAAACACGTGAAAAATGCTCAAGTGAGTTGTTCAAAGGTGGTTGTTCAATTATTTACTGACATAGTAATGGTAAGTTCAGATTTTCAATGATGTGTCATAACTTAATTTAGGAGGAGGAATGACTAATATTATATAGTGAGAGTAAGACAAATGGCCCCTAACAATGAATTTTCACTTCATGTAATGTGGCACAGAGTCTCACCGTGTCCATGCCCAGCAGGACCAGTAAAGGGATAGTGGTGAGGCCTCCTCGGATCCACTCCTCCAGAGTGACTGTCCCGTCCCGGTCAAAGTCAATCTCCTCCATCATCTCCTTCAAAATCTACAGAAGCACACTCTGCTCAAAAACTAAAAACTCTATCACCAAAAAGAGCAAAGTCGTGATCAATCAGTCCGATGCAGACAAGTGCTTTAAAATAAACAGGGCCCAATTTAAAGGAGTGTCTGACTGAGAGGTTTCAAGTTGCAATCAACTGCACTGCTTTTTTTTGTCTACTTTACAAGACAGGAAGGGTGCTAGAGCACACCATGCACACATAATTCTAAAGTTAAGGTATGTTTTTGTTTTTGCCCAATTCTAAGTTCAAGATCAACAGGTCTCATAACTTTACATCTACTTTCCCAGTGATTACATTTTTAAGTTTGAGAACATTTTATTGCGTATGTTAATTTATGTTCTTTAAAAAGGACCCTGCTTTCTAGAATGCAGTATTGTGTATAATAATACTGTATTTGACCTTTTTTCCATTTATTTAGTCTTGGTGTAAAAAAATTTAAGATGTCATAGAGTGGACCTAAGATTGGGACTAAACCAGGATTAAACATGGACTAGAACAAGACTAAATCATGTCTACATCAAGACTAAAATTTAAAAAACACAAAATTTAGGACAAATAGCTACAAACCAGTGAAAGCATAATTAGAGAATACTCACAGGTCTCAGTTCTGTTGAATCCCACTCCAGATACTCAGCCACATGTACCATCTGATTTATGATACGATCTAACTCCTAGGAAAAAAAACAAAAAGTAACATTTATATATACACGAAAAAAGTCAAAGTATACCCTGCCTCTTACATTTGATGTTTAAAGAGCCTATATTAGACAATTTTCTGATGTATGTTATAATGTATTTTTTGGCTTAAATCTCACCAGAGTCAATTTAAGAAAAATAGGACCTTTAAAATATTTCCTTACATCCTTATATAATTTGAATAATAAAGAGAGGGAAAAGAAAGTCACAATTCAACAATGTCACAATTCTCCATAAACAAACAATAGTGAAATAGTTAATTTCATTTAATAGCTCCTTTTCAGTCCAGCCAGATGACAGCACATTACATTTAGGTAAACTTGTTTGGACTATTAAACAAAAAACTGATTGATTATTGCTTCTAAAATATGATTATTATTTTTTATTTTAGGATTTTGTCATTATGTTGTGACCTGAACAATGATGATTAGCAATTAACCAGATAATCTTGACATCCCTAAAATAAGTACATAAAGTTATGTGTTGTGTGAAGTAAGTGGTACAGTGCTTTACAAGGGACATTATTCTCTCCAGTCCATTTTGGCAATGACGTAACATCTACGTAAGTTACTATTACCACAAAAACATCTAGTACTCTTTAAGGTAACAAGTGTAGATGGGGGAGAGTAAAGGGGGAGGAGGGGTGGGGGGCTCACTCACAGAGCTGTCCAGGAGACCATTGCCGTCCGTGTCATAGAGCCGGAACATGACTACAGGGAAAAAAGAGAGCAGAGATCCCCATGATGACTCAGATAGGACTGTCACATCATTAGCAGCTTTAACAGTGGCTCTTGGCCTGTCTCCAGATGGCCACAGGGTTAAAGAGGTAGAGCATGTTCGTGTGGGACCAGTTAGAAGAGATTAGCCTTGTCACAAAGAGCCGATATAGAAACAGAGAGTCAATTGGGCAGAGACGTGCTTAAGCATGTCACCGACCTGCCCCATCTGACTATGTGCATGTATGAACCCATAGGAGGTACTTAGTGAGGAGGAGACTGTCTTTTTATTACTCTTTTGTGTCGACCGGGGCCCACATGGCTACTTAGGAGAGACAGAACTATTAAAAGAAATAACCGTTTTAAATCACAATTTATTATAATCTCAATCAAGCTTTCTGGATTTTATGACCATTCCATGCCAATGTAAATGGCAAACTAAAAGACTTCAGCACATCTTTTCATAATGAGATCATATCATCAGGCAAAGATTAAAAATGGAAAAACTGCAGAAGAGAAGACCTCAAAATTCAAGTGAGTACAAATAAAGCTTATTCAACCAAATCTGATAAAGTAATTTCCTGCTCATGTGCAGAAGACAGTGATTCTCATTCTGTCTGCATGATTCAGGCAAAAATCTACATCAGCCCACAGCGAGGGAGTAAACCTAATCCACAACCTAATCCAAATATAAAATAAACTAATACTAAACCAGGACACAACCTGAAGAAAATGGACTAAACCAGGATTAAAATGCTTGGACAATGCAAGTAGTTATATACAAAATCATAACCCAAGAAAAAAAGTAATAATTTTAAAATAATCACTATAAGGTGGATAAATTAAAAAGTGTTCTGAGCAAAATCTGAATCTTGTTAATTGTTAATGTTATTTTTTGTTTCAATTTGTTTTCACTTATTAATCACAGATGATCTAAATCCTCTCATTTAAATGTCATTTGTTTAAGAAACTAAAATAAGCAGAATATGTATCTTCTTTTAACAGCTTGTTACTTTCCCAACATCTTTACATTTAGTTTAAAATTAGAAGCAATATATTGACACAAGTCAGAAATACTTCAAAACAAACTAAATTTTCTAGGTCCAATGAGTGAAGAAATCCAAACTTCTCACCCAAGACGTGCACGTATAAAAAAAAACATAAAAAAAAAAAAAAAACATTAGCAGACTCCTTACTCTTACTTTTAAGATTTGTTCTGGACTGTATTGGCAGATTTTAAACAACAGCTGCTCCCCATCTGAGCACTGACCAGTCCCGCCCACCTCCCTCCATCCCCCCGTCTGTCACTCACACTCCAGCTTGTCTTCGGGGGTGCCTCTCTCCAACAGTGAGAGGTAACAGACGATGTCCTTGAGAAAGACCACCTGGGGGGACGGCAGGGGGGACAGCTTCTGCGGTGACGGGCTCCTCCGCAGCGACAAATGTTTCTCTGAGTGACTTCTCTCTGTGGATTCACAAGACAAAATGCTAACAGTTAAAAACTAATCCATCAGTGTATGAAACAATGGGACTGGTGTAGTTACAGGTGTGTGGACAAAACAGAGTGATGGAGAACAGGAGGACAAAAACAGTGCACAGAAAGAGGAGGTGGGGGTCCAGTCCACTGATCCAAACAATATGACATCATGTGAGGGGCAGTATCGTGTAAATAGTCAAAGCAGGATTAGCAGCACCTAGAAGAAGTGAGTCAGGCTTGTAAAAGGTCCATATTTAGACAGAGACAGGAACAGCTGAAAGGAACACCTGAATGAAGACAGAAGACAGGAACACCTGAATGTGGAAAAAGGATATGAGGATTTCCCAAACTGATAGAAAGATAAAAGTGACAGACACTGCTAATTCTAACTTAAAGGTGCACCATATGTATTATATAACTTAGAGAGATTTTGGTCAAAACCTTTACCAATAAGAATGCTATCTAAGAGACAGACTATCACCAGACAAACCAAAATGAATCTATAGCACTTTTTCACTTTCAAGGCATTCAAAGCACTTTACATCAAGGAACTACTCACATTCATACACCTGTGTACGTAGACAGGAGGTTAAGTGACTTGCCTAAGGACACTACATCAACAGCATTCATCTATAGGAGCAGGAATCCAACTTTCAACTACTGTCATAGTAGTTGCTACTGTCGTACAATAATGACAGCACTGAAGTGTTTACCTGGGGAGAGTTTGGGCGATACCGGCGACCTGGAGGGGCCTGTGTTGGGTGTCAGGGCATTGTTATTGTTGCCCTCAGTGGATTTGGCTTTAGTGCAGGGTGATCTGTGTTGTCCAGGTGTCTGACCCCCCGCCCCGGATCGCTGAGAGGAGGAGCGGGAGGAGCAGGGGGAGGTGGTGGCCCCTGAACCTGCTGTGCTCATAACACTGTGCTCTGGAGTGTGGCGTCCCATGGCACACAGGATACTCTTACCATTCATGCCTAGTTGGATAGACAAACAGAAAATAGATATAGACAATATTAAAAATGTACTTTAGGAAGAAAGAGGATAATTGGTAAATATGTATGATTAACACTACAGTTTAGGGCTGCAACAATTAACTGAATAGTCGTGACTCGCTGAATATATAAACATCTTATTATTTAGTCATTTATATTTAGTATTTAGTAATCATACTGTACAAACTCTAAAATGCATGCAAAAAACTTTCATTGCAGATTTTTATTAATAACATACTATTTAGAAGCCTTCAGTCACCATAGTCACCATTTTTCAAACTTATTTTGAATGATAATGTACCATAAAAATAATAATTTGACTAGTTGATTAAATGAAAAATAATTACTGACTAGTTAACTACTAAAATAATTGTTAGTAGCCCTACTACACTTTCACAAGGCAGTTCAAATGTAAGAGATTTAAGCCAATGAAATCATTACAAGTACAAAATACAGCAGTATCCATGGATCCACAGGCAAATGATAGTCACACAGAAAACACAAAAGCAGCATCACAACATGAGGGCAACAGATTGAAGCCAGCAGGGCTCTTGTCCCACTTAGACGACCTCACCAGCTCCTCTGGTACCTGTAATGGGGGCACAGGCCACTTCAGTCTGTATAGAGATGCCTGCATCAATGGAGCGGGCTTCTGCCAGTGTTGGATGGAAAAAGGAAGTAATAAGAGATGCAATAAATGAACAACAGATTCTTCAAATAAACTGAAATGAATCATAATTAATATCTGAGAGTTGACCAAGGTCTTTTCAGATATAGGCAGAAAATAGTTATAGTTCAAAACTATAACTACAAAAGCAGAGGGCAACCACAGCGGTGGGAAATTAAGAATTAACCAAAAATGAGTCTTAGCATGAAGTATAATGTTTAATAAAAGTAACCACAAGAGGGCAGTGCTGTACATGAATTTTGTATGTCCCTATAAGAACTGCGTTTCAAATTGAAGGCAATACAGTGTTTAGAAATGTGAATTGTAAAAAATGTCATTGTATATATAAAAGAGCAGAGTGTAAGCCATTTAGAACTTAAGCAAGAATTTCTGCAATACACATGATGTAGCTTGGAGAGCCATTTTACAGGGACATTAAAATATTTAACAACAAGTATTCAGCATATATTCAGCAACATATCAGATGTTTGACAGTTTTTCATTGGTATACTGGTGTACCGTCCATGCATGCCATGTTATAAATATATGAGCCTAAATCCGCATAATCTTTGAAAAACAATACAGCAGATGGAGTGACGTCGATACCATACAGCTAATATAAAGTTTGGACTGCACTTTGACTGACTCGCAGTGGAAATCTCAACTCTGCGTCTGCTGTCCAAAGTGTCATACTGCCTCTCACTTAGCCTCTATGTGCTTGCCTCTTACTTCGACAAGCAATGTAACACACAAATAGATTTCTAATTCAATGGTCCATCTGTCTCCTCAGCTGCTCAGTATGAAGGGCCAGACAGGCGCAATGAACTTGGAGCCAAAACCCACACAAAATCTTATGAGAAAGGTGGAGGCAGACATCGAGACAATCAGTGCTTATCTGTTGTGGCCAGAGAGTAAATAACAGTAAATGGGCCTACTAAAGTGACTGCAGCAATGAAATGTTCCAAGAATTCATTTTGTCTTCTTTTTTGAAGAACACTATTATCAACATTATCAGCAAGTAAATAAATTCAAGTTAAAATTAATATCATGATGTTTCCATTTTAACTACTGAATAAACCATTACATTACGTAACTTTTGTTGAGGGGGTTAACCACGTGCTTGTCTCTATACAGAGCCTATGTTATTGCTTTGTATGAAATGTTACACAGTGTTGAATTACACTCATATCTTACAATTACAAGTGTTTCTATTGAGCACATGTATTCTTACTGGGGTTTATCTCTCCACAGATCTGACTTGTAAGTTGCCCTGACAGCATTACCTGCTTGTCTTATTGGCAATAGTGAAGTTTAATGTCATACTGTGGCAGATAAAACAATAACACCTCCACAGAGACAAGCAGATGGTGTACCCTCCAACAGAAACGTTAGATAGTGCACCTGTAAGTCAGAGTTCTTATCATATTATATAATTTACTCATAATAAACTCATATGCCCCAGTATCGGAGGTTGGGTTGATGTGTAAAATATATTGTAGCGTATTCCCAACGTATTTTCTACATCTGATTTGATGAGAAGTGACAGCACTTACCAAGGAGACTGGTCCCAGCTCTGGACTGGTCGGGGGAGCAGCCTCCAGACTTACTCTTGAAGGAGGTGAAGAGATGCTGACACAGCTCCTCTGGGAGATCGTTCTCCAGGTAGGTGGCCATGAAGAGCTGAAAGCCTTCATAGTCAATGGGCTAAGCAGAGAAGACAGGGACAGAAAGGTCATAGAAGGTTACTTCATTGTTGTTCTGTCAGTAAAGCACAAAAATAAACAAGGGGAAAATTAAACATGCTAGCATTTTAGAGTGTTAGGATGACTTTTATAGATCTATATTTTTTATGACATAAAACAACTTAATTACAATATGGTGTTAAGCAATTACATACAAATAGTTTCCACATGATATTTTTAAATCAGCAAAATGTCAAAGCAGGTCAGAGGCAGACAAAACAAATCTGCAACATGTAAAATACCTCTGTATAGCAAATGACTAAATGGAAAAAGAAAGTTACTGGCATTCAAGATATAGTTAGTTTGATATCATTAACCATCAGTCGCACTGTAAAAGCTCAGAGTTTAAGTCTGTTGAGTGACCCCATGACCTCTAATCCTTGCCCCTCTGTAATGGTGAAGCGAGTGTATATGTTGTGTGGGTGACATGATGTGCATGCGCTCCGCTGACTGACACACATCACACAGCATGCAGAGCCGGGGGCTCGGGCTTACTTGGTTCAGAACATCTTGCTTCTGATTTACAGTCGAGAAAGTAAAAAGGAAGGAAGGAAACAGTCAGTGCCATTATAGATGGGAAGATTTTGAACTGAGCGAAGGTGGATTTCATCTGGATCTGTTGTAACCTTGTTGATTTTTGAGTATATGAAGCAGATATATATATATATATATATATATATATAATATATATATATATATATATATATATATATATATATATATATATAAATTTATTTAAGAATAATTGGGAATTTTACACTGATCATAATACAGTTTGGATTCACTGTTACTAATTGTACTACTGATTTAGTCAGTATTGCCCAAATCATTTTTAGGAATAGGAAGTACAGAGTAAAAGAAGTTTTGGTGTCCTTTGTGTGTTGACCAGATTTGTGCATTCTACATTTAAAAACAAATCGCACAAACAAATGCAGGTCCTTGTACTTGTCAAGGCTTCATGTGAAAATATGCCTTTAATAAGGGGCTATTTGCTGATTCTTGAACACTCTTCATCAGCAGAGAACACAGCGTGAGGGGATCCTCCAGCTAGCCCTGATATAACCCAACACCAGCCAAGAACACGCACTTTCCTTTTTTGGACAAACCAATCACAAGACTTTAATTTGCTTTGCACGACTCTGCTCCTGTGCACATAAACAGCAGTGGTTCTCACACAAAAACAGTAAGCGCTCCCGTTTTGCCTCTTAAATACACCCAGATGCATCTGTGCAAAAACACTCCCTCAGGACAGCACATTTAGAGTAGCCAACATTATGTTCCCCTCAGCAAACGTACACTGAATCGTGCCAGTCTGTCAACATCTCCCAAGGGTCACCCACAATTTACACGCATCATTTATTCTCTTTCATTCTGGCTGATTTTGGATGGACTTGAATAGCTTTTTATAGCACAGAAATTTGTCTAATGTCAGGTCACTTAGTTTACACACTAACTACTTAGATAATATGAACAGAACATTACACTTAAAGCAATTAGTTAGTTCCTTTCAACATGGCAACACAATATTAACCTTGATCAAACTTAGATACATGGTTATCATTGCGCCTACTAGAGCTGCAACTAATGCGCTCTATAAAACTGAATAAATCACAACATGTCTTTTTTGGCATTTTGATCTTTACAATAAAAAATTTGCATAGTCCAGAAAACTTTTAACACTTAACAAAATAGTCAATCAGTCTCGATTATTCAGATTAATAACAGCAGCATTAATGTTAAGTGCTGCAGGATGTCACAGGTGTCTTAAAAAGCAGTGGCAAAGTTTAATTAGTAGGCAGCACACACTTGTTTTTTATTACTATTTTAAACCACAAAGCTGGTTTACAACAAAGCAGATTTACTTATGTTTTACATTACATAATGCTGGTTTGGTGTTTTGCTCCACTTTAGAGGTCCTTTTCTGGTCCAGGGTCGGCCACTTGCTTGCATTTGTTACTGATATGGATGCAGCATTCTACAACATGTTATCTCGCATTCATCTTGCGTCCTGCTTGTCTCCATGGAGATATCTATACATTTGGCATACTGTGAAACATTCCAGGCAAAGCAATGCATCTCCATGGAGAGCGTCAGGTAGTGGACCGTTCACTTGAAAATTTACATAATGCATCTTGAACATAATATGATACCTCTGAATGATACATGCAAATTTTTCTTGGTACTAAACCTTTAATAGACTGACAATCTCACTGTAATATTATTGACGCTGTGTTTAATATTGTGATTTATTCATTCAGTGAGATACAGAGGCTCAGTCTGAGATGCTATGGAGTCTCTTATCACTCAGTAAAAATCACTGTTTGTTAGCATCAGTGGCAAAAATTCAAGTGACAGCTGCAATTGTCATCCATTGTTTGCTCTTTTCATAACTCATTCAAACTCCTCAGACAGCTCTCACCCCTTGGCAGAAATAAGCCCATAAATGTAGCATAGCGCAGAGGAGGGAGGTCGCCTTGTGCCACCAGCCCAGATAAATAGATTCCACTACAGCTGGGACAATACACTTCGAAACCACTTCATTTTTTACATTGACAAATGAGAGCCGTGGGCTGCAGTTGTAACGTCGGCGCCAGGTGACAGTCCCAGACACACAGAATAAGGGGGTACGGTGGCGCCTTGGTGCTAGCCAGCCTCTAACTCACGTCATCACAAATAAACACTCAGGAGGAGAGCTTTAGGCCAGTACAAAAATTGCTCACATGTAAAAACAATTTGCTTCTGGCATGTACTATACAAAATTGACTAGGCATTAATTCAATATTGTTTGAATCAATTTTGTCACTACATTTTGCTGCAGGTCTGCAACACCATTTGGGCTATTGGAATATTTTAAAGGTGAAACACTGCGAAAGTCAGACATCAGAGATCAGGCGATGATGTTGATGTTATGTGAAATATAAGAGTTGCAGAGACTGCATGAATCGTTTTGGTTTTTTGATATATAATTCTGCGAAAAGTGATTATACAGTAATTTCATATTTGTTAGATACTTAAGCCTCAACAATTTTCATTTACATTTCTAGATTAACAATAATAATAATGCAATAGTCTTATAAAGCGCTTTTCCAGATGCAGTCATTTTATAATTTCGTGCATTCATTCAGTCCATATTCAGTGGTGGTAAGATGTAGCCACAGCTGCCCTGGGGCAGACTGACAATCTGTGGTATCGTTCCTCCAAACACCACCAACACTCACGCACACACCACTTTCATACTAGGTAATGTTATGTGTCTTACCTAAGGACACAACAACAGTTTTTATCACTTGCGCCCCACTGTGGCAACTGGTATTCCCAGCGGTCTCCCATCCAAGTTCTTATCAGGCCCACCCCTGTTTAGCTTCTGAGATCTGATGAGATCAGGCTTTGACAAGGAGGTTTAGCCACAACATAAAGAATGTTGGATTAAAACAATATCTTCTGCATATCATTATCAGAATACTGAGACATTTATTTTTGTACATATCACCAGTCCCTAGTCACAGATACTATTTTTACACTGAGCTTAAGGTAAGGTTAAGATAAGCTACCTTTAATTACATGCCATAAACAAAAAAATCCCGTTTCAGCTCTGCTTGGTGCTCAAGATGAATGCTTGAGTGGTAGAAGTCTGTACACACTCTACTCATGTTTGAAATAATAGCAAAACATAAGAAACAATACAGTTTACCCACAGTACATAGCAGGTGTCAAAGCAGGTAATTTTGCATGTTCAGGCTACAGGATGTCCTCATATTCAATATGTTCTCATATGCATTTTGTGCTGGCTAATGAGTCAGACAGTTCAACTGACACAGAGCCAACTGTCTTTAAAGAAACTAGGCCAAAGAAAAAGTAGGAATGGTAATAATATACTGTCTGCAGTAGTCGTCTATGGCTCGAAGCTCATTTGCTGACGTCATGGTTTGATGCTGAGGGTGTGACCGACCGCTTTGGCTTTTCATCTAAAAATGGAGCCAGTGACTAAGCACCTCAGTGATAGATATTACACATGAATCAGACGAAACGAACAAGCTGTAACACCCGCTAAAGTCATAATGTGTTTCCAAATCACAAACAAAAAGGGGATGCTGGGAGTTATTAAAAAAATAATAACAAAACCACGAAGGAGGAAATTTGTGCATTACAAAGACTTACTTGCTCTGGGTTGTACTTAGAGAGGACACCATCTCCATGAAACTCATCCAAGACATCTTTGAGCTTCTTTGTGGAGTCTGCAAAGAAAATTTTCATATTTTTATCATGTGGCACAAACATATACGAATTTTAATTCACTTTTGGTTATCTGTCATGAGGATGGCAGATACTAATTAATACTATGATAGTAGTAGAAGTAGTAGTATTGAGACTAGATACACACAAATATCAATATTGATCATGATCAATATTGGAACTAGTGTAGGACCACCAGGTAATATATTATTTTGGTCTTGAAATTTAAATTTCATTGAGTAAAATAATGTGTAAAGATGTGTAAATAAAGTGTGTGCGACATCACCAATAGCTGTTTGGAGGCGAGTTTTAGAAAAACGAATTTATTTAAAGCCAAAATAGCGAAATAACAACACAAAGGATGTAGAACTGGTTAATATGGACATTTTAAGACCAAAGTGACAAGGATCGCCACAATTTTTCAATGTAAAGTCTAACTGAAGTCCAAGTCAATGGAGCCAGAAGCTCCCCCATGCACATTTCCTATATGGAAAGCACCGGCTAGTGGGTTAGCTATGTTGATACAGTCTATGGTTTTAAATTACTGTGTTAACTAAATCAGTATTGAATATTTTCCTTTAAGATTAAGTTTAATTTAAAATTTGAATATTGTGACACACTAACCTCCATATGCATGCAAGCACACGACCCTTCACACCCACGTCATTGAGAGATACTAACCCGATATAATGACCTCCTATAATGACCTCCTCCACCATCCTCTGCCAAACAATTACTGAGAACAAATGGACACAGGGATAACCACTGTGTGTATGTGCGCATACAAACTATCATCCTCCCATCTCTCATAATCAAGTTGAGCTGACAGTTCACTTCATTATTTTTAGTGCTCTGTATCTTTTGAGGGCATCCAATTTTAGAGCTCTATTACATATTCATGTCAACAACACAAAAGGAGCACAGGAGATCAGGAAAGCTAAGAGAGATATGATTAAAGATGGTGATGATATTTTAGAAGTCAGGTGTGGTGTCAGAGCTGTGCGAATACAAAGCTTCATAACATTAGTATTGTAAGACATTACTACGCCGATGATTAAAGCACATAAATCACAAGCGCTATTAGGTACAAGAAAGAAAAAACAATAATATACGTGAAAGTGAAATGTAGATTTGTTTACATCATTTATAAACACATTGTTAATTTATTCATCATCATGTAAGGGGATTGCTTTATCACTGAGGTGGATCTAGACCTGCCATAGGTAATGTTGCTTCCTCATCTGAATGGAAATTTAGAAATGTACATTGGTTCAGTTCATCATTAATCATCACTATACGTGTGTCACAATATAATTAATAAAAAAAAAAAAAAGAGTTATATTCTGTTTCACATGTTTAACACACAGACCCTGCATATTTAGGCTGTGTTCTTCTCTTAAACTGAAAACACTCTATTCCACATTGTGATGTCATGTGGTAACACAGGAAGTGCTCCACTATGTTTTTAAACTCCATACACCTTCACAAGAATCATTTGCATCATTTCAGCCCTGGAATTGCCAGTCTCTATGGAACAAAAGGTAAAAGGTAGCTGTTAACCTAAAAACTACTGCTTCATGACATCACAAGGTGGAACAGAGCATTTTGAGCTTTGGAGATGTAGACAAACTGTAACAAAGAACGAAACAAAACACAACTCCAGAGGTGTTTTTGAGGACCCTACATTCTAACATGTAGAATGTAGAGTAATATAGGATCTTTAATTTGATAACATCTTTAAAAATTTGAAATCTCTGTGCTGACATGACAGGCGGTGCTACTTTACCTTCTAATCTCTCTTCTGCTATCCTTATGTTGTGTATTTGCATGTTTATCGGTCCCACCATCAGAAACTCTTCCTTTAAGCGTGTGGTGTCTAGACTTATGTAGGATCAGAGCAGCCAAAATGAGATGGAGATTAACCAGAATCCACTTTGTGTGACCGGCTGCGGAGGGTAAAAAGTTTGATAAACCGTTCTGTCTGGCTAACGACCTTCCTGTCAATGTGTCACACCTGACGTGATTAAAATAAAGAGATTTGATTTTAGCTGCACATAAAACGTCCGCCCCCTCCCGCTATGTGGATAGTACTTCACTAAAATACTACTGCTATTCTTCACCTGCAACAACATGAGTGTGACAAGACAGATGCGCTTTTTTGACTAACAAATAGATATGTTAACTACAGAAGACTGGCACAATTCATTGCAGTGGAAGGTGATGTCTTATAAGGGATGTATAGATTTGTTTGCAAATTACATTCAGAAAAACATCTATTTTCAGCATGTGATATAATTATTTGATCTTTTGGGCTATCAATATACTATGCATTAAGGACAGAAAAGGACAAAAAATGAATAAAATATAATAACAAAAAACAAACACTGGGTTTAAATGTTCACAGTCCCAACAGACAGATATATGTATTGTAACTTTTTCAAGATGCACAGTGATCCTCCCTGGGAACAAATCTTAACACATTTGAGTTGAGTATGTTCAATTTCTGTCTCGTGTCCTTGTGTAATAACTTTAATTATTTGCTTTACTGATATACATCTAAAATGACTGAATTAGTTTCATTTTTTTTACATGTGACATATGTGATTCTGTTTGTAACATTTGTACTTTTTCATCCTTTTTGACCCAATCTATGAGTTGAGAAAGGTTAGTCTGAGTAAGGCCTGGGACATCCTCATATGAATGACCGACCACAAGATTTGTTTCTTCAAACAAAGCATTTAAGCAACAACCATTGTGCACTGACACATGGTGCATGGCTCTCTCACATCACCTCTTCTTTACACAAATGAACAAAGCTAGCCTTTTTTGCGATTTACACACATGAATACTCACATTCGCTGTATTGCTGCAGCTGGCTAAACTCAGCTGGGCTCAGGCACACCCAGCCCCGATCTCCCATGATGTTTTAGGGCCACAGTCGGATTTCGGAGACTTTAGGAGCCAGTCAGGAGCCAGTCAGCCCACGAGCCACACCAAGGGGATTGACGTTATCCTCGGATCGATCGGCGAAATAAGACGGAGACACAGGGGATTTGGGAAGTCATGACTGTCCATGTCTTAGCAGGTTCATCAGAAGCCCTCAATCATAATATGCTTTTCAAGAGTGGTTTGTCATAATCATTTTATAGGAGTTTGGTAGGTGTGAATTGGTACTCCAGCTTCTCGCTCTGCAGAAAGGGGAAGATGTCAGGAAGAATCTATGTCTCCACCACTAACTACTTGTCATGGCTCCGCACGAGGTGGCACAGTGGATCTCAGCAATGGAAATGGTCTAGGGAAATGGAGAAAAAGATGGGGAAAAGATTATAATAATGATAAATAACATTTCCATTTGTAATCATTTTAACATGCAAATGAATGACAGTGTGTGCAGAGGGAACAATAGGGGATCATATTCCCTGGACAAGAGTAGAACTATGAAAATATTCAAAGCCATGCATCAATGTTACACACAAATTTCATTGGTCATTAAGTGATTTCAAAGCAATAAGTCTGACCACTAGGGTTACAATACAAGTTTAAACGTAAGAAACACAATTCTTAGCTAGAATAAACTATATGTTAGAAAATGTAAAAGAGCTTAAGAGTGGGCAATATTACAAGATAAAATCTGACTGTGGTTTAACCTTGTGACAATCAGCCAATTTATTACACTGTGATCCAGTGCTTTTCTGTTATAAGCTTATCTAACACACACACACACATTGCCCCACTTAGTCCTTCAGTAGGTGGACCTTTGCTATGGTTTAACCGAAAGAGTGGTGTATTTAACCAACCACAGGGAAGTCTGACCTCTCTGAAAAAGAGGATAAAGTTAATTAGCTTTAAGGGCAATCTAAAGCTTGTGTGTCCAAGAATCATGATAAAATTTCAGTTATCTCTTTTCTCTTTTTAAATACAGTTAAACAAAATGAACTTGTAATTGATGCAAGGGATGCAACAATACATAATGTTGAATCTTCCAATACAACCTTCATAATACAACACACATGAGACAGTACACACTCACTACTGCAGCGTGTTAATTGAGCCATACTTACACTAATGCACAAGAAAAGAAGATAGTGCAATCGAATAAAATGTTTTATTCAATGATAATGACCAAAAGAATAAAGGAAACAATTCTCATATTTCATATTGTATTGAGATAAACATCAAATAGTAAGAAACCTGTAATGTTGCAGCGCTTATTGATACCACTGCTCTTCTGCCCAGTCTGTGCATTCTGCATTTCCCTCAGCCCTTGACAACAGCCTAAACCTCCATGCTAAATTCTATCTATAACTAACAACACCATAACTAACTCAAACCTAGGCGCTTTTCCTTCAGCTGCAGCACAGAGCGCACAGCACGTGCCAATCAGAGCGGGAATCTGTTTTGCTCTGTGCGTCGCCTAGCAACTGTGACGTCACTGAAGAGCCCGAGAACGAGGAGCCCCGTGATGAGATGCAGAACCAGGCAAAATACCCCACGTCTTAGACATACAATGCAGAGCTACTGTGAATCTTTGTGTGCTGCTGATTTCAAACTCACACCATTTATTTTACAGAATCTCAGGTGCTACTGTCAGAAAGGAACCAGAAAGAACAAATGTAAAAATACAGTAACCAAAAAACACACTAAAATACAATATATACAAATATATAACATATAAATTAATTATATTTATATATTATATATAAGTATCTCAGTTATAGACTTTATATCACTTTCTTCATATAATCAGTAAGAATATATTTTTGAAATGTGTATAAGAATATTGTAAAACAGTCCACTATACCCCAACATCAATCATAGAATGGACACTATAGTACATATATGTATATGTATAATATCTTGCAATACATTTAGAACTAAACGTGTGGAAAATGTGATATCTTTGTGATAACACTGCTTTTGTTGATGGGATGGGGAAGTTACAATCATATGGCAGCTGCCTGCAAACTAGGGCAGGAGGCCTCCAGTTGTTTAGTTTTTTGTATTTAATTTAATTTGTAATTAAATTATAAGTATTTATAATGGACAACAGCAGAAAGGAGAAGTTAGTGAGTGAGCTAGCTGAAAATTTGGTATTTTTTTGGCATTTATATGTAAAAAGGCAGATTAAACTCATGATTCGCAGATGTAAACACTATATAAATACATTTATAAATACATTTATATAGCAAACCCTTTTAGTCAATTAATTGATTGGCATGACATGTCTTTAGTTAACTAAGAATTTCTTTAGTCAACTACAGCTTTACTGCAAACTGACTTCTAAGTCAAGCTCAAACGCAAATTAAAAGTGAGCCAAACAACACTGTCTTTTGTGTTCCCCCAAATATGATTGTCTAGGGAGTTTTAGTAGGTATTAGTCCATCTTAAAGCCTCTCAGTATGAATGGAGGTAAATGTACACACCTCACATAATGTTTGGCCTGTTTCATTAAACAATACAATGCAGACCTGGTATGAGAAAGGCGGCGTGGTATGGTCTTGAAGGCAATACTGAGAGATTGGTCCAGGCACTGTAATTGCATAATGGCGTGTATAAAGACTGCAATGCCAATGTGAACATGCAAAGCAGGTGGGCAAGATTTGGTTTGATAGCATTATACATAAAAGGCCAGGCTATGATAATGATGGGAGATGCAAATGAAGCACTTGAGATGTCAGGCTTTAGAGTGTCAACAACACAATATTGTACTGAGAGATTCTGGGTGTGCTTGAATGTTGCACGCACAACAATCTTGACTGAACTTGACCTTTAGACAAATCACCATGTAAATTTAGTAAACATATTACATATACAAATTTAAAACATAAAGCTTTTTACAATGTGTTTTAGAAATTACAATAGTTTACAATAATTATAAAAGTTTTGGTTCTAAACCAATGAATACACCCATGGAAAACAGTAAATACTTCTTACCCAAACCTGAACTTTTCCAAATTCACTGTCTAAATTTAACAGAAAAATATTTTATACCAACATATTCAGACACTGTTAAAGTTTATCTTCTGATCATGACTGGTCAACATATCTCAAAGAGGAGTATTTGAGTAAGATACTTCCTATTATGTACTGTTAACCTTGTCCCATTCATTATGGCTTTTATTAGCTCTTTTTAAACACTGGCCTTATCTGCTCCATAGTGTGCATTCACCAGCTGGGCCAGAGCCTCAGGAGCTGCACAAGGCCAAATTAGGATACTGATGATGATTAAGGACCACAGACGTCTGAGGTCATAACATAAACAGAAACATGAGCCCTCACTTAAGACCAAGACTTATGACGGGGAGAAGGCAGGGAGAAGTACTAAAAATAACAAGTGGAAGTACTGTTACTTTCAAAGAATGTCTAAATACAGCTGAACTATTAGGTAAAATTCAAAGCAGAGTTACTTGGCAAATTTGACTTTTTAGAGCTTTTAACCGTTATAGTTGTTTCCCCTTCTCATTTACCCTCTGAAAGTTGTGATTCATGCATGTTTGAGTAATCTTAATACTAAGACGTCATTGCTCCAATCAACCCCCCCTTTCACTGCCATCGGTATGTGCCAACTGCTTTTAGTTTCTTAATTAGTGAAATGTACATGATTCATCAGCGCTGTGTAGTCATTTTGGTACAAATTAAAAAATAAATACAGTACTCGCTAGCGTGATGTGCAACTTTCCATAGGACGTGTCAACAACTGCAAGCAACATTAGCTCTCATTGGGCACTGCAGTTCACAGATCAATAGTGAGATTTAACATGTCCACATAATGATCCACAATTACCATAAATTATAGCTATATAGCAGACACAAGCACCATAGGTCTTCTTTAAATTTAGAAAATAACTATATTGTACCTTTGAATGAGCACTAATATTGTGAATCTACACTAATGTCTGATAATTATACTTCTATATCTACTGCAACCTTTTCTGCTGCTAGTACTGTGGCTTCTACTACCACTGCTAGTACTACTATTACTACTACTACTACTAATCATGCTATGCTAAGTCTTCTTCCGACTTTGCACCAAAAATGTAATTAAATGTTATTTCTTTAATGAAGAAAAAGTAGCTTTTTTATAGCTATGTTGCATATATACACTGAATATATACATTGCAATTGCCTATTAAATAAATAAATTGCGCTTAAAAATGTCTACGTGCTTTGAAACATTCTCTGTAAATGAACAGGAGATCTCTCTAACATCTATGACATTACTTGTGCCTACTTGCTCTATTCTCTACAGGAAGAGAGTGTAAACGGTTTGATAACAATAGCAAAGTTCACGACCTACACACACACACATGCACACTGCTGTCTCACTGGCAAGACTAGCGGAAACCTCAGGAAATTGCAAGCATATGATTAAAAGGAAAGCATTTTTTTTCTGTGTCAAAGTGCCGACATTTACAGCACAGAGATAATCTTCATGATCCAAGCAGTTGCTAAATATAGACATCAAGTTATAACTGGGTCGGTAGCTTACTGAACAAGTCCACAAATGTAAAATTCAAGCTTCACTTTGCATATGAATTATGCAGCTGCCCCTACTGAAACAATGCTCAGATAATACACTACGCTTTAATACTTGCGGAGGATTATTGTGAACTTTGTGCCCCACACTGACCTCTATGAGCTTTTCATGCCACAACATATGAGGCTGAAGATGACGAATAATGGCCACTTCAAATCAAGAGGTCTCAAATCAAGTCGATATCTAAACCGTATTTTCCCACACACTCAATTAGCTCAAGGGCACAGACTACATTTGCCACAATATAATACAATGGCTGTCTCAACATTGGTCTAAATTGGTACATTACAGGATTAAAATTAGATTTTGTTTTTAGTAATTGCAACTCTAAAAGTTGAATTTCTCACAAACCAGCAAGACATAAGACAGAGGCAAGTTTAGAATTTTACTAATTATTTTTTGATAAAATGATACAGTCCAAGCTATCTGATTGAGAATATGATGCTGTATTAATTATCAAACTGTGCTAAGTTTACAATTTTACAATTCCCACATTATATTTACATCTCACTGAGTGTTTATTTGTGTGCATTAATTAACACATTCTCCTGATCGGCATGTATAATAAGAGTATTAGCAAATCCGTCTCTTAAATGACCACCTCTATCTAAGGAAATCCAATTGGTTAATGTTTTGGTAAACAAGCCACTTGAGACTCCTGCAGCCCGCTGTTGTGCTTTGTTCACAGCCATTACACCTGTAATGAGCCATCAGGCTCTTTGTAATGGAAAGATCGCGTTGATAGAGCCTGATCGACCATGTGCCGAACACACTCACTTGTTTTAAACAGATGGACTAAATGAGCAGAGGAAACATCACATAATTTGCTGTTCTTCTAATTTCTCTCATGAATACAGAAATGAAATGTTTTAATTAAACTTGGATCATGTACAAAATGTTATTACCAATCAGTATATCAGTGATATAACAGAAACTTCAGAGAGTTTTCAGTTAAGTCACAGAAGAGCTACAGTGGCACTGTCAGCTTACCCTCCCTCAGACCCTAAGGTGGCCAGTTTAATATTTACTTGAAAAGCAAACTTCCGTCCACGGATTGACACCCATTTTCCACTCAGTTCATAATAATGTGGCTGGTGGAGAGAGAGAGAGGCATCTGGATTAAAACATACTGCACGTGGTTTGATTACAATTATTTTACTTTACATTGTTTACGTTGTTCCATGCATACGTAGTTTACCTCAGATAGTCTGAAATTGAAAATCTCTGGTTTGCGTATGTCTTGTCTGAAAGGGCTTCTGTGGTAGATCCTACAGAAAGCCAACAGCTCCAATGTGCATGACGTAGATAAAACAATATATGAAGAAAAATAATGTCTTCAAGAGAAAGGAAAGTTCAAAATAGCTATGTGCAGAGCCTGTGACCATATTTCATTTTTCTGTGTGGCAACAATGAGCAGGGTCAGACGGAAACATGTCAAAAAGGCAATTAAAGACAGATTTAGGGGCTAATATTGTCTGAGAGATTGAACCGCATGGGGCCCAGTTGACCTAAGGAGCGCCACTTGGAGCTATATCCTTTGCCTTAAAAGGTCTGCAGTGTGCAAGCGTGTCCAGACGTGGCAAATACATATGCTCTCACACAGTCCCTGTCAGGCTCAGCCTTATTCAACATACTGTTATCACAGCTCATTTTCTACTCTGTCCCTCTTTGAAAGCATCTCATGTTCTCTCTAATAACTTCCCCCTTTTTCTCAAGACAAAGCAGTCTGACTCTGACTCTTTAGGGCTATTTATGTCTTAACTGTTAAAAAGTACTGCCATGTAAGTGTCATGTCTAATATGAGTTCAAACACCTATTCCTAAAGTTGTCATTCAGGCATAATTAGATGTAACATATGCATATAATATATATAATACATGATGTTTGTAATAAATATAATATGTAAGTCAGATTCCTGGTTTAATATTTATACATGTCATGTATATAAATGAGAGCATGACTGTGAAATGGAATAAGAATAAGGTTGATTGAACAGAGCAGTGAATCGTCTGCCACCAAACTTTTTGATAACATTTCAGAATATGGAATGTACACAAAGCTGAATACTCAGACAGCAAATAATAATACAATTTAATCATCAGTGGTGACCGCATGAAAACCTCAACACGCAATCTACAAAGTTAGTTACTGCATACTTTAGTTTCACTTTCAAAACATTTTCCATTTTCTGGGATAAGACATAGCTGCTTTATCTAACAATTCTTCACAATGAAGTAGAGTGGCCTGAGATAACTGCTGAACTGTACATGGACACAGCAGTGTGATGTGCGATTAGTTGCACTCACATAGGCCCTGGTCTTTCTGTTGTCCAACCTACAGGGGACAGGCGGATACAAATACCACGAGTATTTATGGAAGGCCCTGGCGTCATGGCAACAGTGGGATTGTCAGCGAAACACGGAGGGAAAGGCCAAGCTATACACCACACACTACACTGTATTTAAATGGGAATGCCACCCTATTTACATATGTGGATGTGCACAAGCTCAGAGGCCACAACCAAACTTTTATCACGGAACATCCAAGGGAAAAAATATACAAATTAGAATTTCTTCGAATAACAGGCCAATAAGATCAATTATTTGACTAAAGTCTATCTAGTTACAGTTGACCAATACTGGTTCACACATAGCAGCTTAAAGTTTCAGTTAAATCACCAGGAAGTTCTGTCATCTCACAACCTACCCCCGCACTTAACATTACCCTTGGGACTGTAAAACATAACTACTGTAGTTTTGTGTGACAAACCTGGGTAACTTGACAGTTGTGTTAGAGCATCTTGAGTAAAAACATGTTAAAAAACACACATGTGAACTCCATATTCGACTGCTGCAGGTGAATGTGAATTAATTTTTAAATAATACACTATATTCATAATTAATTTCTAAGCATTCAGTTACCATATTTCAACAATTATTTAACATACTGAATGTGTTATATATAATAAAAATAATAATTTGACAAGTCAACTAATCTAAATACTTCAATAATTGTTAGTTACAATATAACAGAATTATTTATTTTAAAATGTTATAAAACTATTAATAAACTAGCATATTAGACTTGGCTCATAAAATACAACAGGAGAAGAAAATGCAAATCACATGCTACAAGAAGAACACTGGACTGATAATGCAAAGTGATTAAAATACTGTCTACAATTGGAACAGAGGGTATTAAACTTGTTCAATAAGCTCAGACATTCAGGAGATGTTGGGAGGAGTTGGAGCCAACTCAGTCAGACTGCAACAGAGCTGCGAACCCCTTCAGCAGTTTTGGTTCTGGCCCCAGGGAAGCTCCACCCAGACTAAATCAATTCAAGAGTTATTTTAAGGTGAATCATTTTCCTACAGTGGTATATGGTGTTATGGTATATCACTATACCACGGTAAGGGCATAGTCTTTCTTTAACCATCTAGTCCATTCAGTAATGTATTATATATCAGGTCCTGCTCAAAAGAAAATAACATAAAAAAACATGAATAAGGTATACATGTTTTCCATAAACATACAAAGCTTTCGATCGCAATGTTAGACACAGTGTCAACTAAGGCCAGGATCTATTGTTTCAGTTGTGCTATAGAGTGTTTTGTCCATCAAAAAAAAAACTATAGCAAATATGCCTGCTACAAATCATTCAATCATTTGTTTCTTTACTTTTTCTTTTGTTTTCACTTTTCAGCCAAACTTACACGTAGATCAACCAGCATAACCACATTAGAAGTAGAAGTAATCATGTATGTGTTACTAAAATAGAGGTAGAAAATAGTTACAAAAGGAAAATATTTCAACTGCTGTTTTGGAGATATATAGTCTACAAAATATACGAGGGCTGCAAAAAGAATATTAAAGGGTCTAAGGGATATTTAGTCCATTCATTTGAACTCAATCAGTATTTACATTTTAGCACATTTCTGATGAACTGTCATGACACTGTCAATATACCGCCATCAGGAGAAACCAAAAATTTTAATCAGTATCACCTGTCACGATAACACATTTTAAAGTTTGATATATTGCACAAGTAAATATAGACAATAAATGATAATACTGAAAATAATTTATGCCACTGACACAAAAACCCGAGGGCAGATTTAAACCACAAAAACTATTCTAAATGTACAATATTGTTTAAAAAAACTCATAAGGGGAAATAAATAAATAGCAGAACAAAACACTTTAGTACTTAGCTTGCATCTTTAATGAGTCATTGAAGTTATTCATTTTATATTTTATGGCTTAAATATTCTCGTAAAGCCAAAAAATATATATATTTTTAAATTGCAATAAAAAATATTCACATGATAAATACTAACCTAAAAAATATTGTTTGAGCTTTCATATACTGAACGATAAATCACTAAACCGGTAGTATTTATGGTGACAGGACTAAGAATCGCCATTGCACATTCACAGATTTTTCACGCCGTTGTTGACCACATTTCAACAACTTAACCAGCCAACAATATTCTTTTAACCTTGACTTGAGTTGTTGGAAATATCTAGGCCACTATCACTCTCAGACTGAATATTATGTCAATGGTTGAGATGGCCTATTCATAAAAACACACTTGTGCCTTATCTAGCTCACATCAAATACAGTTTCATTTGCAGTCATCTTATATCTAGATCAATATTGAAATTAAAAGAATCAATTTGAGTGTTTTTTTTTCCCTCTGTGTCATTCTAATCACGCTGTTCAGACAGGCGATTGTTCACTCTTTAATCCGTGTGATGAATTAGTGTCTGAACTGACGACCAGCAAACCATCTCAACGGACCTCCATGACCCAATACCAGCTGGCCATCCTGCTAATGTGCCTTTGACGTGAATGACACCGTTACCAAGCACTCAGACACTACCCATATCCATACAGAGGTGCTTCACTCTGGTGCCTTTGTAAGACATGGGAACGTGCACTGCATAACAGAAACACAACATAATCCTGCACCCTATTTCAACTGATCCCCCGTCTCCTCTCACTTCACATCGTCTCCTTGCTTTGCCTGCCTCCAGCTCTAGACTTGTCTCCTGTCACAGCCGGGCACTGATTTGGTAATGTTTATCACCAACCAAGTGGATGCTGTCAAGGAATAAATAAGCGTTGCATTTAGTGATTGCTTGATGAGATGTAATTAGGCGTGCTGACTGGAGATTAATGACGAGAAAGTCGGTCGCAGGGACTTCTCAGGGGAATAAGCATGGAATTAAAAACATACACTCAAATGACATTCAATGATCTTTAATTACATTCCAAATCAGGTCTATAGCATGTTTCTTGCAACTTGCTGTTTGGGAGTGGATCTCAAACAGTGTGTCAGTGTAAGGAGCAGTGATCTAACTCTTCTTGTCCTGTGTGAACTGACTAGAGCTGGTTCCCACATTATCCTGCGTGTGACCAAGACGTCCTAGCATCCACCCAAATGCCCATGCCACCCTATACAATATCAATGCAAAAATAATCTTAACAGCGGAAATGAGTAGGCTACTTCCCAAAGAGTAAAAATGTACATGGTTAAGGGCATTGAAAGACAGTGAAAACGATGCGAGTATTGCAAGGAGAAATGATCAGTGATTTGAACGTTAAGAGACAAAATAAATGCCAATCAAGCTCACATGATTGAGCCTTCTGCCTTACCTCCGGGTTATTATGGCAGCTGCTGTTATGGTCCATATGACATCCCGGTGAAGTCTGCCCGCGAGTGGAGATCGAAGAAGCGATGCACACTGCAGTTTTGGTCACTCGTCTCGCTCGTTTCCTTCGTAAAGGACGCAAACGGCACAGTCAGATGTACAGGAGACATGGGCTGCACCACGGCTCACGGCACGGACAGCGGTAGCGTCCCTCCCATCTCCGAGCCTGAATTAATTAAGGTTTTCTCTTCCTCTCTCCTCTCCCTCCGCTGCTGCCCTCTCTCTTTCTCTCTCTTCCTCTGTTTTCGTCGTTCTTTCGTGCGCACGCTTAAGCCCTGTGCGTCTGTGCAGCTTCCTCCCCGGTTTTCTCGCCTCTCTCGTGTCTAACTGATCAACAGCTGTCTCTATTCCCCACCTCTGTTCAGGGATTAAGGCGGCCTCTAGCCAACTGCATTTTAGCGCTAATTGTTAACTGACTGTAATTAGGCATTGCGCTGTTTGCTGTGGCTTGAAATAACCACAAGTTGGAATTCTCAAAAGTACTGTGGTTCTGTAGCCCACTGATGCGGTATAGATAATGTTTTTGGTAAAACTTGGGTTTGCATTTTGTTCAATTTGTCCAACCTGATTTAGCCTATACAACTATGGTGGGGGGCTATTACTGTATAAAACAACATTGTACAGCTTGCACCTATTGCAGTTATCTTAGATTGTAGCTCTATTTTGTATTTAGAAAATAATGGCTACATGTCACATATTTGACACAGAATTAATACCTAAATGTTTCTGGCTATAAATAATGGTCTCACTAGATATAAGAACAGGATAACCTTACCAAATATCTACTGTAAGCACAATAAGGCACACGGTTCTGTGATCATAATATTCAAATCAAAGCAGGCATTTACATAATCCTTTATGATTAGGTCATACAATACACCACACCTGAATACATTAAAAGGGCAGCAGCTCTCCATGTTTCACCTTTTCAATTATCATGTAGCCCAATAGAGCAGCAGCATTGTCATGTCTGACCTTTACAGGTAAAGCTGTAAAGAAACGTTCATTTCTGTGATGGGGAACAGCTACACCTGTCCAACATCTTACTCCAAACTGTAAATGTTCTGATATGTTGCCTAATTGACCTAATTAATCCCAGTATTATAAAACAGTGCTCTATAGCTGTACATTTTTGCAGACGACCACCCACCCTGAGATTTCCATCACCGCTCTGCAGTAGTTACTTGGATTTTAACATTATATATAATCTGGTCAAATTAATTCCATATTAGTGTTTTCAAAATATTAAAATTTTATACTAAGGACAGAGGCGATACCAATATTGATATCACAGTTGTTCAACATTCATAAATGCTTGTACCATTCAATTCCATCGCATACTGTACTTGTTCAGACTTTTGGTTAAGGCTAAATTTTTGTAAACATAATTGTGTATTCCCATGTCTACAAATGATCATTTCTGTCCTTCCTTCAGACCGAAGTAAGAATCAATGTGTTTGAATGGATGATGTCGCTGGAGTCTGATTTTATGTCTTTCTTTCTCAACATTACCACATTACCCAGACTACTGCTTTGTGTATGTCAATTTACCTCAAAATTGTCACTGCATTGGGATGTCTTTCATACTGAAGCTTGTAGTCGTTTGTGATTCACTAAAGGGTTAGGGGTTGGCTCATTTCACGTAATCATGCACACTACTTCCTGTCAGTCTATAAGAGGCCAATCCCCAGAGAAGAAGCATACAGTCCCTCCACTTCTTATGTTTCCATCTTCCTGTAGCAGCTATTGGCTTTTGGCTCCAACAAACCACAATGACAAAATAAAAGCAGGCCACGCAAATTTAACTGAGAACTTTTTTTTACGTACAGTAATCAAGAAGGTGAAATCTGAGACACTGGAGAGACTCTAGTAGATTAGTGAGTGTTTGTATTTTTTATGCTTGTTTTTCTTTTTCAGTTTACATTTACAGTGACCACATTCTGGGATTGGGCTTAAAAATATATGGCAGTTGGAAGCAGAATAGTTGAAGCCTGTTTTTGATTAAATTTTAAAATTTTTTGGTTTATGTACTGTAAAAATAACTGAATTCACAACACCATTCATGAACTCTTCTGGTGATGTCTGACCAGTGATATTCTAACAATGACATAACATCAGCAACAACATCATGTCCCGTGGTATCAAAGTAAATAAGTAAGTAAGTCTTTATTTATATAGCGCTTTTCGCAGACATATGTCACAAAGATGCTTTACAGAGCATTAGAGATTCATTATTCTTTTATCTCCACACCCAGTGATGGTAAGATACTATTGTAGCCACAGCTGCCCTGGGGCATACTGATGGAAGCGCGGCTGCCATGCCAATCGGCGCCATCGGTCCCTCCGACCACCACCAACACTCACGCACACACCACTTTCATACAAAGCAATGTGGGTGAAGTGTCTTGCCTAAGGACACAACGAGTTACAAAAACACACCAGTATACTCTCCACAGAGAGGGGTAGACGGGTGAAGTGCAGCAGCCAAAACAAATGGCACAGAGCTTAATTTGAGGTGCAGACAAACGGGATAAAAATAGCAAATGTTAGTGGTGTGCTCTTTTGTGATCAAAGGCAGATTGTTTTCATCTGGCTTATATTTCACTCAAGTTACAGCCCACACAGTAAGCTTCAAATAACTCTGTGACTTAAGATTCTAAAAAAGGAGATAGATGTGTAAGATGCTTTCAAAAAGGTTTACTTTAACAGTAACCTTCATATATATCAATGTTTTGCCAGCAAGGTTTTACTGTGGTTTTATACTCCACTTTAAAAATATGGCCAATATCTGAGGACTAATTCATAAAGACCATATGTAATTTAAGTGTAGAATATTCACTATTAGATACAAGTGTGCTATTTTAAGACATGCATGCAAATTCATTTCCACATCTTAAAGATGCACTGTGTAACTTAGGCTATATGGTAGAAGTCCCCACTTGTCTCCATGCTTTGCTTAAAATGTTCCACATGGCGTTAAACTTGTCTACAATAAATGTCTCAATGCAGCTTAACACGTAGAATCATTGGATTCAGTGTCAGGGAAGACTGAGGAGAGTCCTCAGGACAAAAGTGTCCTCCCTCTCTGTCCTGAAGCCGGGATATCTAAGCAGTGTCCAGGGACAGTCAGGTGAACTCTTGAGACACAACAGAAGAGCCTCTTCTAGGCCTCACTCTCACTATGCTGTGTTGTTTCAGTCAGTGATGAGATGGGCCATTCCCTCTGGAACATCTTCTGACATATTTTGTTTAGAAAGTCTACTTGTTGTAATTACATTACAGTGACAGCTGGTTAGCATAGCTAGCTCCATGCAGGGTTGAGATGGATACAGGAAAAACCACTCAGATCCCACAATCTGGTAGTCCTTAACTTCCTTCCTTTGAACTGTGCATGCTGCACTTCTAAAAGTTTAAGATAAAAGTTTAAAAACTGTTCAGTGTGTCAGGAAGTTGTCCACAGGAGCAGCTAACCATGTCAACATATATGATTAATGCCATACTGTGGAACACCCCTGTGCACTTCTTTAACATCTTCAATCAATCTAAAAATAACTATTAACTAACTAACTAGTAATTAACTCATTGTAACTCATTTTTCCCAATAATATTTCCACCAACAATAATCAGCGCCTACAAAAAGTTCAGTAATGACAGTTTGGGGAATCTTGATTATGACTATATTCTAGAAGTCTTTTACATGCCTTCTGCCACTCATATACTTCTTTTTAGTTCTGCTGTTCCAGTGATTCACTGTGTCTTTCCAATCACAGTGTGGGTATTCAGAGTGTCTGGTTCCGTGTGTCCTCTACATGACTAACAACATGTTGTGAAATCATCTTAAGAAGTGAAGGTTTAAAGGTCACAAGATGGTTGCAGCAGTTTGGCAGTAGAGGAAGTAGAAACAGATCCGAGTAGTTTACTGTTGCACTTCCAGAGTCTCTGTGAAGGGTCGTGGTTAGATTTTCAGAAAAACTCCACCCAAGTCTAAACCCTAGTCTGCCGTTTCACTTCCTCTGAAGGTAACAAGCGACACGGTCTATACGTCATATCAACAACACAAGTATCTGACATACAAAATGCACCCACTACAACTCACAATTCAGAGCAAAGGAAAAGTGTTGTGTTTCCCACTAAAGCTTCAAGTTATTATCAGATCTACATCCATCACTGCTACTTGTACTTGCACTGCTATTTGTATCAGTGCTATAGCAGCAGTATAAATGTTACAACTGCTTAGGCCATGGGTGCTTATCAGTTGAATAAGAAATATTAAATGACCTATATTGTGTTATTTTCTGATCTATGTTATAATGTGTGCTCCACTGTGTTTTTAAAGCTTGACAAGAATCATTTGGATGATTTCAGCAGTGGAATTGGCAACTTCTACTGAACTAAATGTAAAAGGTAGTTGTTAACTACCATTACATGACATTTCAAAATGGAACAGGGCATTTTGAGCGCTGAAGATGCAGATAAACTAATAGTAACGTGATGAGGTATGGATGAGGTAACAACATTATAACATGGCTAAAAGCTCACACGAATCAATTTTGTGTAATATAGGTGCTTTAAGCTGTTTTGTCAAAATAATTTAACAGACCATAAATAATGTCTATAGAATTTATAATGAATACAGTCAGTGGTGACAGTGGTGATAGAAATGCTCCAAATATACGTATATAACATTTATCGATAATATACAGTGACCGCTGCATCCACATTCATTTAGCTTGTTCCGTCCCTTAGCCAAGACACAGAGGCATTTCACAGAGAAAAATGACCGAGGTGTCAGGTTAATTGCGCATGGAAATTAACAGCATCAGTACAGCAGTCACTCACTTCCTCTCAGTCCATCCTACTCATCTGAGTTACGTTCAGCTACATCAACACCTCCTCCACAACACATGAATCAAACATTTTCAAGAAGCAGTCATGGACACTCTCCAGAGTTTTTGGAAACCGCAATTCTTCGTAAACAGATTGCAAATGCGGTTGAGGAATGACAATAGAAGCACCTGTCAATCACTACCTGGAAGAAAGACTACTTTCAAAATGTGTGGAGCAGAATTAAATTGTATAACACATCACTGAAATCTTGAATCAGCAATGATGTTTGTTTGTTTTTTTTTCATAAAAAAAATATTTGAATAATCCTGAGGATTTATGCCAATTCATAACCTGGTGAATTTATTTCTTTTTAGGGTATGAAAATACAGTTTGCCTCTCACGCCAGTGTAGGTGGCAGTAATACGGAACGGAAAGGATATAGATGTTTAAGTGGAGTGGAATTTTAAAATGCACAGAATATTGTTGAAAGGCACAACAAACTTGAGGGATTAAGCAATGCAAAATTAAACATTGACAACTGAGTTGGTTGAAAACTGATTATAAAAAATATATCTGACATGAGTCATTTACGGTTGCTCATGTAAATCCTCAGTTCAGCACTTTTTTCTTAGGAAGACTTTGCTTTGATTTGCTCTGATTTAAGCAGGTAATCCTGATCCATCACAGGGTGTCAATAATGGAATTATGAATTAGAAATACAACATAAGTCATTTGCTGTCTTAACATAATTTGTTGGTGAGATGACTGGTTGCTTGACGTAAAATAGGCTAACTCATGTACAACATTGCATTTAATATCCAGATTTATTGAGACATCACTGTCCCCAAGAAGCAACATGTAAACTAACCGTTGATGAAAGGCAGTGACGGTCCTTCTCTTTATGCACTGTTCTTCTTACATCTCTATATACTCAAAAGATATGTGAGAGAGTAAACAATCCAGTTAGAAGACAACAAAGGTCATAAAATATAATGTGCTTCTTTAGATATTAAAGAGACAGTCTGGAATTTTGGACATAGGACCTCATTTCCTAGTTAGCCAGAGTGTTGGAGACATGTGGAGACACATCCAGTCCTTGTATTTGCAGAGGTCGCTGGTGCTATGCTAGCGCATGTCAGTGGCCATAGTTAGCCTGCCACTAAAAACACTCTTACCCATTCCACAAAGCACCCGAGGCAAAGCAATTATTACGCTAGACTGCCAATGTGAATGTCTGTGTCGATAGAATAATTTTAGAAGCAAAACCAACCTTGATAAAAAGCTTGGCAGTGGAGCTTAGCACCTATCTTACCAACAAAAAAAAAAAATCCACTGCTGCTGAGAAAATAGTCTCTCAACATGCAACGATTCATGCGACGCAAGGTTAGTTTTATTTCAAACATTATTCTATCAACACAGACATTTACATCAACAGCCTGGGTTTATAATTGTTTTGCCTTGGGTTCTTTGTGGAGTGGGTAAGAGTGTTTTTAGTGGCAGGCTAACTATGGCCATTGACATGCGCTAGCCTAACACCAGTGACCTCTGCAAATACAAGGACTGGATGGAATATTTAAAAACGTGTCTCCACACGTCTCCAATACTCTGGCTCACTAGGAAATGAGGTCCTATGTCCAAAATTCCAGACTGTCCCTTTAATGCTGTGATACTAAAGCTTGTGCTGTTCAAATTTGCACAAGTGGTGTTCTTATTACAGATTTGCGGCCTTATAGAGCTGACCTCAACTCCCTGCATGCTCCTTGAATTATTTAATGCCTGACTTAAATTATTTCATGTTTAATTCAAAGGAAAATGCATAAATTGTTCTTTAAATATTTAAATAATTCAAATGCATTAGACCTCCAGAGATGCTGCTAGTTGGATCTGAAATCCTTATGAGGATTAAAGGCTAAAGGGTTGTGTAATTATTCTCACATAAATGACACATTTTGCTCACATTCTGTTAATTTTGCTTTTTATTAGCTTGAGTTGTCTTTTGTACATCATTACAATGATTTGTAGGTGTAGGTGAAGTGTCTTGTTTAGGGTAATGACCAGCAAATCTACTGTGCCTTTGGTTGTCATTGATGCGAGGTCACTACTGTCTATATTTAAATTAAGAAATCTGTGACTATTATTCAAATTTACACACACTGGGGAAAGTGTTATGGAAAACTGAGGACGTTTGGACTGTATTCAACTTTTTCATGTGTAGTGTAAAACTGGTACTGAATTGGGCATCATGATGACAAAAGCTGACAGAGGCTATTAGTTTGACTTGGCAACACACACAGCATGAGAGTGAGGTCTCTGCACCAAAATGAAAA